TTTTAATTGACATGGAGAAACTGGGAATATAGAAAAAGGTGGGATCTGTTGCAGTGATGCCATAGAAAGGAGGATACAAAAGGAAGCCAGCCTGTACTACATATGAAGCAATTTATGAAGCAACTTCTTCACATTAAGTTTGTTATCAAATGAAATCAAGAAGAAAACCAAAGTTGGAAAAGCTACATTAGGTAGAATTATTTTTCATTAAAATATTCTTAAAAGGCAGTATCATTCCCTGATACACACAGTGACTGGCAAGCTTTCATATGTTTCAATAAACAGTGCAGAACTTCAAAAAAAAGCAAAAAAATTATTTAGTGAAGATATTATGACCACTAGTGAAACTGAAAACAGAAAAAAACCCCAAAACATTTAAAAAGAAGCATGATAAATGGCAACAGCTTAAGTTTACACTAGACACTGTGAACCAGGACTGTGACATTTTAAATGGAACCTGTGACATTTAAAGAGCAATCACTATCCCTCGGTTATTAAGGCAGACGTACAAAGGAGACTATTTCTTAATGATACCCCAGTCAGCAGAGTATTTTCTATAGGCACTGTATAAAAATATTTCCATAAAGTGATGAAGTAGAAAGTCTCTATTAAACATTCAGATTATACACTTACACAGGTAACAAAATATTAAGAGATTGTAAACTTATACTAGAGATGACAATTATGTTATCATTTATTCCCTCATCATCAAATTTTATCAAAACATTTGAACAGATTAATATTCCCTTCTATTTTCAATGAGAAAAATGTTTCCATAGCAGTTCCTGACTAAAGATTTGGATAATAATCCCTTGCAAATTATACACCAGACTCTGTAGCAATTGCATAAGTATGAATGAGGGAAATAAACCCTGAAGGCTGAACTATATTCTTTTAACTTAAAGACTCTAAAAGGTGGTAATATGGGATACTTCTACCCTTATGTGAAAAAGATAGGAGTCTCAAAAACATGATACTTTTCATCCAAGTTGACAGACTCATCACTCCCTAGAGTCAATTTCACTTGTAAATATTTGCACAATTTGCATACTCACTAATTATTACTGGTGCTGCTATATGTCCAATCTTTGCTAACTGGCAAGAATTGGGATTTTAAACTTAGAAGCACTGAGAATTAAGGTATTTTAGTTGCTGCAGAGATGTATTGAGGGGTGAGATCCTCTGCCATGCTGACTGAAATCTTCAAATCATATATATAGATATACATAGTATATATTCAAATGCACAGAAACATATACAAACATGTTAAATATGTTCCACAAATTTCTGAAATTAAATACCATACATGACTTAGTAAGAGACATAACAGGAGATATAAATTAAACTAGTGGGAGAATTACTAATTTTTCACCTAAAAAGAGATACTTCCTCTGTCCACAAACTTAAAATTTTCATATTTTCAAGTCTCAAAAAAACACATTGAAGGTAAATAGTCTTCAAAAGATGTAAGTTAGAGATGACGAAACTATTCCTATGCTCTCGTATGGACTTCAGTCTCTATTTGCATCAAAGTCAGGCAATTACTATTCTTCAATTGTTTCTACAACAATAGTGCTTGGGGAAAGAAAGCATAATCTGTAGACATTATCCAAGGTCATCCTATAATCCTGACTCAAAAAAAAATTACATCGAAAAGGTAACATTTCAGCTGAGCTACATGCACACTTTATTATAACTGTCTGCTCCAAATCTACCAATACAGTAAAACTCAATTCACAAGTTCACAATTTGAAAGCACACAGCAATGCAATATGGCCATTGGCTGTCTCTTATGCTTACATCTTAGCAGACTATTTGATAGTTTTATAAAAAAGCATTTTAAACATTTTTGGTTATTGGATATAGAGTTTTTTTAAACCGGACTGGTGTCTGTTCTATCTAATTATAGAATCACTTCCATAATTATACTAAAGGTTCATAAGGATCATGCCTGTGAAAAAGAAAAAAAATTAAAATGCTCTTGTGTGATTCAGTCATAAGATAGAGAACAAATCTGGCATAGAATCTACTTTGATCTGCTTTGTATTGCAAAACCACACCCAAATTGCATTCTCTGAAACAGCTTTAGAAGAAAACTGAAACATTCCATATGTGTGCTAATAGAAATGACAAGAGATGTGGTTATAGAAGATCATAGTGCTCAAGGGAATCAAAGGGGATGAGATCTAATGAATATTTTAATTTTTTTGATAAGAAAAGCATGCAGTCAAAAAGACTGTAAGAGAGAAAATAGAAAAATTGAATGTTATTAGCTCCATTTAAGAGATGTCACAGCTGTTCCTATGAAAAAGCACTCTAAAGGTAATATATTAGAGCATTGTTAAAAACTTCATCAAAGAGTTAGTGAAATTAATTAGTGCAGATTCGTGTTGACTTTGGACAACAGCACTTGGGATAACAATAAAACAAGAAATAAACTTTTTTCTCAAATGAAAGGCTGTCAGTAGGTAGGAAGGTCCAGCACAGGCTGTTTTTATGTCCGTTGGTGCTTAGAATGGAGAATAATTTGCTTCCATGGAGAGCCAAGTGTGCGGGACAGCACTAAGTTGTCTGTGAAGAATGGTAGTTCCTTAAAATTTGAGATTCCTAGGAAACACAAAACTGTTTCATAAGAATTCTTCCATGAATATCAAACATTTTTTAAGTATACTGGCACTCCCACTTTTAGTTTTAATTTTGGCAATTTGTTAAATATATTTTGAAAATATTTCCTTTTGACAGGTACCAAATATCTTGTGACAAACCTGTTCACATGGTAATTGCTTCTAATATAATCACCCCTCCTTTGTTGCTCTTTGTTTGCATTTCTAAGTAAAAATATGCTTCATGTAATCTCCATGATGCTTTAGAAAAGCCTAAAAATTCCAATTTTCAGAACAACTTCAGGAAATTTATTGTTCACTACTACTTCTATTCTAGTACAAGGAGATTGGTAGGTTTATTCTATTTAGACTTGTCAAATAGTCTGCGCTCTGTGTGCTTTTTTATGCGAATTTCCACTATGAATGCTGAGAGATATGCTGGGGTAGGTAAGAATAAGAAAAAATATGATGTTTGGCAGCAAATCTAGATCTAGAGGTTCTCCAAGGCAGGGGCTTGTTTGTTACTTTTTGGTATCTTCTTTAGAGATGCTGTTCAACAATTTCACAGCTGCTGTGCAGGGTGCTTTAGTGTTTTTCCCCCTTTCATTCAGTGAGGGACTAACTACTGAGATGTGTATTTTCTCTTGAACATTCTATTGAAAAAGGGGAGACAGAAGCCTATGAAAAATTTTCCTGATGTTTTAGGAAAGAAAGGAGTTTATAATGAAGTGAAGTGATCACCTTAGGAAACCTAGGATGTGATTTATGCAGTCTTAAAATGCGTAAGAGATGGGAGGAAGTATTTTGAAGATGACTTGCATAGCTTGTGCCTTCCATCCTAATTCAGCTATCCAAAAAAGGTAATAGTCACCAAAAGAAGATAATTACATCAGGTATGGGACCTTATTTTGAACAATAATTCTTCCCCATTGTCTCAGAGAACAAGCAACAGCATTCTTTGACAGTCTCATGACTGCTAAGGCAAAAAATTCCCTTTTTCAGATAGTCACGCAAGTAATGTTGGGTGATTTTAGGGAATATAATACAATCAAAAGGGAAATACTGTAGAATGATAAAGACCTCAATTGGTTTTTTTGCTAATTATTATAAATTTACAAAGAAAATAGTTGTTCTGTCCTAAATATGTCAAGAATATTAAAGTTTGCAATAGACAATTTTTTTTGTTTTAAGTATCTTAATCATGAATGATCTAAAACCAAAAAAACCCTTTTAAGTGAAAATGTCAATTAAACTGGTATCTGTGTTTCACTTCTATAGCACTGTAAATGATTACAAACATACAGATTTTTAGTTTCATGTTGTATTATATATGCATTACTATCTGCAGAAGAGGTCTCTACAGGAGATTTTGAAATGCTTACACACACATTCCTACACTAGAGATAAGATGATATGCCTCTCTCTACAGGAAAACTGTAAAGATCTTTCTCCCTAAAGTGGTTTTATATGCAAAAGGAAATTGGAATTGCTCTATAAATATACATGAAAAGAATTTCCCAATAAAGAATTAAACTCGACTTCATTGTGCCTTTGTGGCCTTATTACACTGGAAGAGTTAGATCTTGAATTGTAAGCACTTGTTTACACATTGTATTTCACAGTCTTAGTGGCAATAATACTAACATTATAATTTCAATATGGAACACTGATAATAAAACACTCTGCAAATACACATGTAACTACTTCCCATCTCAGTTTAAAACTGCCTTACCTAAGTTACTTTGTAACATTTATACAGTCCCAAAAATTATTGCAAGTTTTTTAGGCTTCTTAAGACTTAAGTTCCCATAATTAGGGGGTAGACATACAAAAAATGCATGTTTAAAAATGCATGTTAAAAAAAAATTACATGTCTGAGCTAATGCTTGCAAACCACCCAGACAACAGGCACACATTGATTTGAAGAACATAATGGTTAATATTTATAATAGACTCTATATAATAGTTCTATGAAAATACTGATAATTTAAAAATTGTGTTTTAAAATAATATAGCCTGAGTTCACTGAGCTCTCAATTAGTAAAAAAAAATAAAACTTGCATATTTAAGTAAAGCAAGCATGATATACACTGTACTGAAAACCTATTACTGAGACACCTGTTAGAGGAATACTAAACATGTAGTCTTGACAATAAAAATCCCTAGGAAAGCCATTAAAAGCTTTCAACTGGTCTGTTATTTCACATTTTCAATATCCCCTCACTATGACTTTGCTTTTTTATGCTGCAGGATCTTTAACTGTAGTACAGTCTTTAACAATATAGATAACTAATGTTATATTTAGTAATACAGACAATTGACTAAGCTCCCAATTACTCTAGATTTTAAGTAGATAATCAACAGTCCTTTGGGAGTTAAAAGGAAAAAAATTCTTACCTTTAGGTGCCAGCTGCAGAAACTGTGTATGAAGTGTAGTAAGTTGTGAAATAGTTAGAGTACTGCTTTCAGAGGTTTCTATACGTTGAAATTCTGGTGGAGGATCAGGGTCAGGAATAGGGTCAGGAACCATTTTTACATCACCATTGATGAAGAAATCTGTTCCTTCTAAAGTCATTTCATATAAGATTTTGCTAGCACTCTCAATATGATGTCGTGCAACCTCTACCAGTCTTTCAACACTGAAAACATAAATGAAGACACTCATGAGTATAATACACAGTGTTAACAACATAGCTTTGAATTTTAATATGCTTATGCTTTTAAAGTTTTCCTAAAGTAAGAATTTCAAACCCTCTGTGTGGATTCTGTAACTACCAAAATCATGATGAAGTCTACTCTTCCTGTGGCTGCAAGAAATCCTTTGACTGCAGTCAGAAATTTATACAAAGTCAGATCTAAGACACAGAAGAGACCTGGTGGAAAAATACGAAAGCACTTCCTAGGCTGGCATACTGGAGAGGCACAATCTCCTCCTTCGAGTGCAATGAGTACAATTTATACAGGGACAGACATCAGCTGATATCTTTGCAGATTTGGCTTGGAGTGTCAGGTCAAAGGATATGATATTCCTTAAATACTGTGTCTTTGTTAGCACATCAGGAGAGCAAATAAAACTGGCTAGAAGGAAGCAGCTTTGCCTCTGAGCTATTGCCTGTTAAAGCCTCCACATCTTCCATTTATGCCTCTCTTCTTGGTCATGCCCTGACATGGATCAAGCAGCACTGTCCCAGCTATGATTCAAAAGTTAGTAGAGGCCAGAAATACTTTGTAAAAGGCAAAGTCACTTCTTTCCTTTAGAGAGGAAAAGCCATTTAATAATACAGACATTGGTCATTCTATGTCAAATAGTCTAAAGTGCTATAGTGATCCCAAGTACATTTTATTTACTAGGACAGAAAAAAACTGTGAAGGAGAACTTTTTTTCAATGGTCCTTGAAATAATTTTGAGAAATGTAATACGTGGTGATAAGAACAAAAGATGGAGCTTTCCAGTGTGTGTAAAAAACAGGAAAGAAGCTACTGAAATGATACAGAGCTTTCTACTGAATGGAGTAACTGATTGTCTGCTCAGCAATCTGCTAAACCTGTAGTCAAGAAAAATAGCATACCATGATAATTACTTTTACAGCTACAAGCAGAACCTTTTAATCAGCCAAGAAATGAGTTAGTAGCAGTCAGGTTTCTAAGACACCACTACATGAAATTATTATTTTCTACATTTTTTCTAAATTACTCCTGTATTTACTACCTTAATCTAGGTTAAAAAAAAGACCCCAAAAAAATCCTGTTTAAAATTTATACATGTTACCTTGATCTTTCCTCCAAGAAGGTGGATCCAAGCCACTTCTCCATATCTTTATAAGCCTCTTCTGCTTTAAATTTTAGATCCTCAAGAAACGCTAAAGCTTTTTCTTTTACAAGTTCTAGCCGAGATTTTGTGGCTGCCTCTGTTTAAATGGTAAAATCATAATGAATAATATTTATAAAATGTGAGGAATGTTCTCCATCTAAGCACCTAAAGTTCAGCATATTCAACTTTTTAGCTAAAAGTACCTTAGAGGATACTTGCTGCCTGGCTAGTCACTTTTCTGTAGTACAGTTAAGGCTGATGTAATTGTGGCTTCTGTACATGTTCTTTGAGCAGCTGCTAACAGTATGTTACAGAGGTAAGTGCATGACAATTTTTGTCTCCCTGTATTTTCAGAGGTAGGTACTGCATAGACGACTGATAAAACTGCTCTCTTACCACTAACAGAATAAAAGGCAAGGTACATTGTTGCAACAGAGAAATTAAATATTAAATCAATGTTAAAAACTTAGCAACTATACACAACTAGTGCTTTTGCTAGACTCCAGGTATCTGCATAAATGAAAACCACAAGTTCCCAAAAGGCAACTGGATAACAAAGCTGCAAGGAAAACTATAATTCTCAAATACCAGCTATGTGCCTGTGCAAATAGGAAATAGAGTTCAACATGCTCAGCCAGCCTTAGGTTCTTAAGGTTTTTTTATTAAATATAGGATGAAAATGAAGCAATGTCAAGAGGAAAAAAATACATGTTAGTGAATTACTAAAATTCATGTTCATGCATGATCTTCAACGTATTACTATTCTTCTCATTTGGCAATTTTATTCTTGAACTGCTTTTGTATTAAACCATGATCAAAGATGTAGATGTACAAGCATTTGGTCCAACTGGATCTAAAGAAACCTTATGAGTTTGTGGTTTGTTCAATAACTGCTGTTTGCCCTCTATTTTTCATAATAAAATACTACGCAATAGGTAGCCCACCAAAGAGGTACCATGTGATGATGGGCTTGCCAACAGTTGCCAAATAGAAACAATAAAAGCTGGGTTCTGTCTTCCCTTTGATGACAAAACAGTCTTTCTTCTAGTCTAAACCTATCTTTAAAAAAAATTCTCAAACCATTTTCAATTTGGGACTTCTTTCTTCAAACATCTCCTTTTGGCTGAAATGAATGATTTTGTTTGAAAGTTATTGGGTAAGACAGAAAAAGAGACAGAATGCCTGAACAATATGTAAGTTTTCGAAGAGTCTGTTCATAAAGCAGTTTGGAAGAACAAACAAAATCTATGTCCTGCTGCTTGAATCCCATATTGCTTGAAGAGGAGGGAATCAGAGAAAAAAAAATCAATGAAATATGCAAATGGCAAAACATTCTTTCCCAGAACAAAATATTTCAAATACTGAATCCAATTCAATTGAATATTGAAGTATGAGTAACAACTTATGCAAAATCTTTACTCTCAGGATGAATATTTGCTTAGTCATGACAATTAAATTAGATTAAATTATACAGAAGACAAAAGGAATGAAAATCATATTACTACCTTTAGTATATTTACCACAGAATGACTGATGATTACCATACTAAAAGTATTTCCTTATTTCTCCAGACATGACTGACTCTCATTCTTTTTCTTTTTTATCCATCCATTTTGCCTACTGTCTCTGGTTAGTATTGATTAGCATACTAGTCAAATTAGGAATAACAATCACATAGTCAAATTAGGAATAACAATCATCCAATCAACCATAGGGTCTGCACTAATATAAGTAACCAAATAGTAACATACCCTCCTGTTTCAAGGCACTGAAATATTCTTGCTTTATTTTAACTGCCACTTCTTCTTTCCTTAATTCTTCTGGGTCTATAGGAGCTGGAGTGGCTTTTGCTCCTGCAGGAAAACAGACCTCTCAGTCTTTAGATTTGCTTGCTTGTATCATGAAAAAATTGTGTATTGTGAAAAATTACATTTTCCACCTTACTTGATGTGACCATTTATGAGAATGCAAAGGTGGATTCTCAGCTGCCAAATGTAATTTACGTCTGCAAGTCACGCTAAGGTTAACACTGCATATAAATACCCAAGCATATACAACTGTACTAAAGTTTGTTAAATAACATCCTAAAATGTATTTCTGAGTGGAAAATCATGACCGAATAAGTGTGCCTCTCATTTGATCCTAGATGGTCAGAATGTCCTGTTTTATCGTAGTATTTACCTATTTTTTGCAACCAGAACACAAATAAATGTCTTTTGAATAATACTTGTTTCTTCTGGAATAAATTCAAATTTAACAAACTACAGTAAATATGTTATGGTAGTAGTTACCATCAAAGAAGTGAAAAGAATTATGCTATTAAAATTAAAAAAAAAAAAAAAAACCAACCAGAAAGAAAAAGGAGATCTGTTATTTCATGCCCCTTCAAACCTGCACTTCCACCTTGTTTTGACTTACTTATCTATGAACAGATACAGTAAAGGTATTTTATAATGTTTTTAGAGATTTCATGAAATTCTGTAGCCACACAACTTTTACTATTACTCAACAAAATTAAAATATTTTAATTGCTTTGTCCTAGAAGAAGAGCAGATGGAGATGTTACAGAAAAAATATAATGATATCTGCATGATACATAAGGTCAACACAAAACAAATGGTCAGTTCTAGAAGTGATAAAACTACATGTGGTAAGATGTATCACTCTGTTACCAGCCCACAGCTCCGTCCTTGAGAGCTCTCATGTTACAGGAACACTACAGTAACACTGTATTTGAAATTAAATCAAAGTCAATACTTCAGTCACAAATCCATCAGTTCATACCTCATCTTTTACTAGGAAGAAGGCACAGCTTTCTGGCTGCAGTTCTGGTTTTCTGATTTCAGATAATCTTGTACCAGGTCTGAACAAAAATTTGGTTCCAATAAGCAATTCATAAACTTCAAACATGCAACAGCTGCTGAGATTTATCACAAAACTTCTCTAGAAGTCAGAAAATCTGCTACTCTCTTGGCTAAACTGAGATGCTAAACTAAGACTAAGGCTCCCAGGGGCTCACAACTGGCTAAGTATTTGCAAGGCTAAGCTTCTGCTCACTCTGTATGGGCAGAAACAACCAGAGAGAGAGAACTGAGCACAATGCAAAAGAAACTTCTGCCAAAGAAAAAAAGTCAACTGCATTATGCACAATTACTCTGCAGTTACGGCTTTCTAATTTGGAGTATACAAATTTCAGGCTACCCTACACCCACAGGGCCTGAACTTCTCTCTTGTTATGTAGAATATCTTAACAGAAGATACAAAAGTTTAGGCTACAGGCATTGCTTCCTAATGAAATTATATTGCAGACAAAAGGTGAAGATTACATAAACTACTATCTGCACAAGGAAATAGTTGTCAGAAAATGTATAAACAGCCTTGCATGCCACAATTTCTTCCAGAACACTGCCTTCTTTTGCTCTCTTGGAAATAAATTTTGTGTTTTCACCTGGTGGGATAGATTCTTGCCAGACCTATAGGTGCAAAACCTACCTCAATAGGAATCTGCTCTTTTTTAGGACTTCAGCAGTCAAATGTGCATAATTTATTTTACTTGATAAACTAGCTTTAACTGTTCCATTCCAATGCAGAACATGAAGAAAAAATAATATTTACTTCCCATTTAGAATATTTACTTTTACATATAAAAACTACACATGTTTAAACAAATGCAATTGACATTCAAATGCCTTTCCCCTCATTTATCACTATCAGCTTTTTATACTGATGTCACATTTTAAAAGAGAAATTATATCTAAATTAAATATGTTGGGTTATTAATTTCTGTATTATTCACATATTTACATTTCAGTTATTTCAAGCACTGCTAAAACAAAGCCTGCATTTTAAATACCTTTTTTTTTAGGAGGTGATTTGGAAGATGCATTTTTGGCCGCTTTGGTATCTCTCCCAGCCACTTTTGAAGATTTTGAAGATTTCTGTTTTAGCTGACGTTCATTTTCTTCCTCCATTTCTCTAAACTCTATTTCAGCTGTTACCTTGACACCACAGTCACACATAGTACAGTGCATAGTATCAGCTCTGTGCAACTACTGTTTTAAATAACCTATGCTTGCTGAAAGTACTTGATGAGAAGTAGACACATTAAAAAAACAAAGAAGATATTTTACTACTTGACTAAATTTTGATTATTTATCAAAAATAAAATTCGGCAGCAAAAACGCAAGGCAGAGCCATACTGAGTTTAATTCTTGCAGCCACTGTCTGTGCTTGAGGAAAACATTAGAAAAGCAAGAATCAACAGTACACAAAGCAAGCCTAGAGCTACATGATAAAGGGGCAGAAATTAATTTCTTTTAAATGATCAAAGAGAAAATAAAAATCTAACCTAGAAACCAACCATTTGAAAATCTTACCTAATTTACTTTAAGATATATAGAAAAAAGAATGTAACCATAGGGTATGAACATGTGAAAGGTTTGAGCAAACACTGCATCACAGGATTAAACTTAATCCACCTTCTCACACTTCTATTGAGGGATAAGAGAAGAGTTTATCATGGAAGAAGATACATAGAGGCAACATTTGAAATATTTCTCAGTAATGGAATAAAAGGCTCTGTTATAAATATGGAGGTGCTGAAAACACACACTCCAACATTTTCCTCATAGAACTACAAACATATTAAATGGAAATATCAATGGTGGAGCAAGACATATGAAACTGAGATAAACAGTGCAAAGATGATGTGTTTAGACTGCCTACTGAATGGGGGGGCTTTGACTGCACAATCCAAAAATCTTTAAGTAAATAAAACATTCCATACCATATCTGATACTGCTGTTACTGCTGCTTGCCATGTATCAATTATAAGAGTTTTATCATCCCTGCAAGTGGGCACTTCATTTTCAGATTTATTATCCTTAAGACGACTCTTCTTAGTTCCACTCTTTTCTGACTCTGTATTACTTGGTGTAGGTGTTTTCAAAGAAACTAGAGGAATCCTCAAAAATAAAATATAAGGAATAATTTAGATACTGCTTTATTAAAAGTGTCAATATCTACATTAGAGAATACGCTGAAAGAATGGAAATGTTATTTTCAAATTTGCAATAGCAAAAAAAAGGGAGGAACTTTCCTTATGACCAAAAGTGATGAACTGTGTATATGGCCAGAAAAATGTCCAGTTTAAGTGTAAGACCTAAAACATAATAACAGATGGATAAAATTACATCAAATGACTGTGTGATCTGCTGATGAATTCCACATTCAGACACATTATTCAGATAATTTCTTAATTCACTCTAATTAAGTTAAAAATCAGGTGTTATTACTGATGGCATTTTCTATATTGTGAAAGTATCAGGCGGAATCCCTCATATTTTAATATGGCATTCAGTTTGGTACATCTTTATAGGTTGCTTTGACTTACATCTGTTATTACATAACAGTTAATTTGATTTACATTTACATAAAATTGATAACATTTAATTTTATTTATTGGCACAAATTTTAAATCAACTAATGTTCCACAACAATGCTTTACACACATGAGGATTGTGCTGTAAACTGAAAATCAGCAATATAAAGGAAAGAAGGAAACATTCCTATAATAGTAGATTTCCTTCCAAGGCAGCTTTTAAAATGTTTTGCAATTCAGCAATGCATTGGTGAATATGATACAGGTAAATAAGTAAAAAATGAGGGATAAATGCAACCTCTAAAATTATTTGAGATTCATCATTTGACTATAATCCCTGGTTAAAAATTTCTTATTTCTCCATCCTTTGAAATATACATATATCTAATTCCATATACTCCAAAAATCTATCAGTGCATTCTATTTGTTCATTTTATGTGCTCTATTTGTTCCATTTTATGCTGCATTTCTACCTTCTTGGTTCAACTTGATCTTCCTTCTGCTCTCCATTAATAATATCTAACAATGGGATTCTAGTAAAATCTTGAGTGTCTTCTGTTGGGATTTTTCCTTCCATTGCCCTATAATAGTCATGAAGAAGTCTCTTTGTATCTTGGAAACGATCCAGTTCAGCCTGAAGAAGAAAGGACAAAGAGATTGCAATTCAACATAATACCACAGAACAAATTTTTGTTATCACATGTTAATAGAAGCAATTCTAAATCTTAAGAATTTGAGGAGAGCAAGAATCACAGTCATATTTGTTTTTAATATTTATAATATACTGCATGCATACTTCTACTTACATCTATAATATATTCACACTGTCATTTCTCGGCAGCAATAAGAATCTTAATTGTTAAAATAGGAAAAGCTATTTACAGTAAAAAATGTTAAACACATTCAATTTAATTACAATATATTATGATGAATATATATATATTTCCCAGTAGCAAGTACACTAGTGCTAACAAATTACATGGATCTTCTTGTTCAGAAGAAATAAAGTCTAAAAAGCATAAAATAAAAAGGGTTATATGATGGAGAAAATTTTTAAAGTCATACAGTTTTTCTGTACCTAAGTAATCAACAGACTTTGAACACCTAAGTGTCATGATCTTTTTGTGTGAATCATCTCAGAAGAAATCAAGTAAGATTCAAGAAACATTTAACACCTGTCATGTTTTGATTTATTGATTCAGTATGGTGTTAGTTTCTAACTGACAAAACAGTACTAAATATTCATGGGAAAATGTACAAAACCACATTCACAAAACAAAGGATAAAACCTTTGTGGTGTAAACCAGCACTTATCCATAAGTTAAGGAGGAAATATCTTCTACTATAACTGTGTGCATAGAAAGGAATGAAATCTGATAAACGGCATTTATACAAATCTATGTGTTTACACAGTTACAGAGCCACCTGGGGAATATATGTAACCTCTAACAGAACACCCCACAAATGGAGATCTCAATGACAAAGAAGCCTATTTTTGGCTGCTTCTAAAAAGAACAGTTATTACATAAAGTTATATTTTTATTTTATATATATATTTAGTCCTGTAGTTTTAGGATTAATAATTCATTTATTTGGGGGAATATATACTAAGTAAAGCATGAAGTAATGTTTTCTATTAATTTTTTCTTTATGAAAACAAAAGCTTATATATGGTTAATATGTGTTAGTAATTTTAAACAGTTATTGTGCATGTCCACAAAGATTCACAGTGAATCTCTGCTGAACTACATCATACATGCCCACGAAATTCTGTTAGAACTAGGATTGCAAAGATATAACTAGGAGAATAATCGAATATTTAAGCTCTGTAGTATAACTTTGTCTCCTTTACGCATATAGTTCAAGATGGATTTTTTTTAATATTCAGGACTATAAATATCCTAGTTACAGGACCAACGAGGTTCAGACCGTCAGCAGTTATTTGCTGTTTTGACCTCTCTTTTGTCAGTGGCCCAAAGTCTTTAGGGCATTATGTAAACTCTTTGAAAACAAAGTTAAAAATTTCCTTTCTATAGCACTGACAATTTCACAAACTTTTCTTGAATTACCACAACACTCACATGAGATAAGAGAGCGGATCCCTTTTTTATTAAATATATAAAAATAGCAGAGAGAATTAAAGGGCTGAAACCCCACCCTAAACTGCTTAGGCCTGATTTTCTCAGCTAAATTGGCATCACAAGGCAGGTGTTTAAAACACTGTTCTCATTGTCTTTAAATTTGCCAAAACTTTCACAGAATGGTCACTTCAGTTTGCAAAAAAGCCTGTCTGGCCAGTCTAGTCAGGAATACTCCAATCCAGTTCTAAACTAATTTTACACACCTAGAACAGCAGTAACAAGGAAATCTTACTTTACTGCAGGACTGAATGGACTCTTGAAAACTTTGAAGTTACATATCTCAAAGTTCAGTCTTATTTGAAAAACAGCAGCAAATGACATCTCTATCTCAAAACATAACTTGATTCTTTAGGGATTTTTTTTGTTGGTCAGCAGATAAATTCTCAAACCACATCAGTGAAATAAAATTGAGACATGGAAATACTGTAACAGCAAGCTGTGAATGATGTAATTCATAAATTAAAAGGAAATGTCAATATGATCACAGAAGGATAAAGAGCTGTAACATTTATGTCATAAAACTCAAGATGATTCATTGGAGCTCAAAAAATCCAAAAAGCAGCAGTATATAAGAGAGATTGAAAGTTTTGGGGGTTGAACAACAATAGTATTTTTCTTAGTATTTCCTGTATTCCAAAGTTAAATGTATGGAATATCATTTCTTTTTTGTCTCTTAACTTTGTCTATAAATTCAGAAAACAGATGAATATTTGCTTAAGTAATTTTTAATCTTTCACATATTTGGAGCCAACCATATGAAATTTCTCTCAGGCTAATTGTAGCAGTCCATACCTGCATAATTGTAAAGAAATGGTTCATTGCAATCCCCCTACGATCTGGTAACCACCCTTCATTCATGATACCAGTACGTTCCAGCTCTGCCTCTTCCCTTCTGGTGTTACAGATATCCCAGAGAAGATCTCTTAGGTCCTAAAACAGAAAATCAAATATGGCAATTAATTATGAAAGAAAACATTTTTTTAAATTTTATTTTTATTGCCTGGGTATAGGGCAACTTTCTATCTGGGGCTTTTCCTTTATTGTTATAAATATCAACATCTGGTCAGGTCACATGCCTACAGAGGGCTGACAGAAAATTTCTTTACAAGCGTGCCAGAGAGAAGAACACAAAGTTATGAGTTCAGCAAGCAGGCAGCCTTGCTTTCCTCAGGCAGAGATAATCTACCTAAGCTAGACAAATATGACACTATGAATAGCTAAGCTGCCAACTGCACAAACAACTTTGCACTTGAATGGTTTGCTAATTAATATGCTAAGAATAGTACTCTCAAGGGATGGGCAATATGAAAAATAATGAGAAAATTGTGTCAGATTTCAAGTGATTTTCAAACTTGAGTCTCTTCCATACCAGTTTTCTCTAATGTTCATTTAATTAAGGGCTCTTCAGCTAGTGACTATGTCAAATAGCACTATGGGGCTCACTGACAGCACTGAGGGCCTACTAAGCATAAAACATTATGCAACTCATTTGTGCCCTATTGCCATCTCTGCATGGATTTCGTGTTACAGATCATTATGTGTAAGAGGTTATGGGAGAAGGGTGCTGTTAAATACAGTGCCAAGGTAGGACAAGATGAGATGTCTCCAGCTCCAGGCATTTCTACACTACCTGATCTGGGGCAGAAGAAAAGGAGAGGAGCTTAGGCTTCTGGTGAAGTGATTCCATATTCACCAGGTCTTGGTTGCAACCTATTATGTCAGATTCTGTATCTCTTCCCCTTCTGAAGCCACAAGGAAGTCCCTGGGCTATCTAACATATCAATGATGGCTAGAATGTAGTCAAGATGCAGGCAATCAGATATTCATGGCTGTTCACACTGTAGAATATGCACATAAGAATATGCTGCTGGATGAAAAATATTTAAGTGTATGATATGTCTATTGGCAGCGGTGAGTTGCCCCTGGCTCGGTGCCAGCTGTCCACCAAACTGCTCTATCACTCTTCCTCGCAGGAAAGGGGGAGAAAATATTATTGAAAAATTCATGCATCAGGGTAATGATGAGGAGATCACTCCCCTATCACCATCATGTGCAAAACAGACTTGATTTGGGGCAATTAATTTAATTTAATGCCAATTAATAACAAAACAGAATGATGGGAAATAAAACAAACTGGAAAACACCTTTCCTCCCTCCATTCTTCTTTCCAGGCTTAATTTCACTCCTGACTTTTCTCCTTCTTAAATGGCACAGGGAAAATGGGGAATGAATAATTAGGGTGAGTTCACGATATATTTTTATCTGCCACTCCTTTCCCTCACACTCTTTCCCTGCTCCAGGGTGAGCTTCCTCCCATGGAAAATAGTTCTCCATCGAATTTTCTGATGCAAGCCTTCCCAAGGGCTTCAGTTCTTCAACAACCTCTCCAGTGTGGATCCCTTCTGTGTGTGCAGCCCTTTAGGACTGTACTGCTCCAATGGGAGTATTCCATCAGCCACAGCTCCTGCCAGGAACCTGCTCCGCCTGGGCTCTCCCCAGGCTGCTGCTCCTTCACAGCATGCCCACCTGATACAGCCTCGGTGGACTGCATGGACTGCTGGGTGGAGATCTGCTTCCCCGAGGTCCCTCCATGGGCTTCTGTGGAACAACCTGCATCACCACAGCCTTCTCTCCAGGCCACAGGGGAATCTCTGCCCTGGTGCCTGGAGCACCTCCTCTTCCTTCTTCTTCACTGTTCTTTGTGACCATAGAGCTGTTTCTCACATTTTCTCACTCCTGTCTCACAGCTGCCATGCTTTCTTACAGAAGCCACCTCTGCAGCCCCTTTACCACAAAAAAATTTCGTATAAATGCAATACCACGCAAAAAACCACACTAATGTTCTGTACAACTGATATATAACTTTTTCCAGTATGTGTCTTAAACATGTAACATGAAGGATTTTACTCTTTGTCCTCATATTATTTAAGTCACAGTTTTGATTTACTGTAAGCAGTGGAGGAAACTGCAGAGGAGTACAGTGAGTTATATTCCTCTGGCAGAAGCTAAAAGCATGTTTTATGAGTATCTTCTTTTTCTCTCTCTTCACAATGAAGCAGCTTTTCTCTCCTTTTCTTGTAGTGAAGTGGTGAAAAAACTAAGAAAGGATGCATTTGCTCAGTCCTCTCCTATTTGGAACAAGAGAAGTAGTGATAGCAAGCAACTGATCATACTCAATGATAGCAGTCCAATGAAAGAATTTGGAGAAATTTCTGGAAGACAGATAGAGATGTGCTGCTGAAGTGTGTTCTATCCATGGTAATTCTGTGTTTGGATATTTAGGATGTGAGCTGGTTCTGGCTGGGGAGGAGTTAATTTCTTCAGAGCAGTGACTATGGGTTATGATTTGGACTCGTGCTGGAAGCAGTGCTGATAGCACAGGGATGATTTTGTTACTGCTCAGCAGCACTTGCACAGAGCCAAGGCCTTTTCTGCTCCTCACCCCAACCCACCAGCAAGGGGACTGTGGGTACCAGGGAGCTGGGAAGGGACACAGACAGGAGAGCTGTCCCCAAATGACCAAAGGGACGTGCCATACCATATGGCACCATGCTCAGTGTATAAAGCAGAGGGAGAAGAAGGAAGCAGCGGGCACACTGGGGCTGGTTGTGTTTGTTTCCCAAGTCACCACTGTGTGTGATTGGACCTGGCTTTGCTGGGGATGGCCAAACACCTGCCTGCCCTTGGGGAGTGGTGCATGAATTCCTAGTTAGCTTTGCTTCTGTGCACAGCTTTTGCTTTGCCTGTTGAATTGTCTTTACCTCAGCCCAGGAGGAGCTTTCTCACTTTCACAATTCTCTCCCCCATCCCACTGGTGGTGGGTCAATGGCGGTGTGAGGCTTGAGTGCAGGCTGGGGTTAAGCACAACATCAGGCCAAAGTCTTGGCTGCCCTCTGGGCTTTGGGCCTTTAAGGAATTTTACATACATCACAAAATGGGATGGGCTTTTACATTTCCTGGTTGATACCAGAGAAATTTATTTTTCAGATATTACAGCTGGCATTTGCCAGTGTATTAGGTAGAGTCCAGATAAGATGATAGTGTTGAGGAGTCTGTGAGTTTGAAGAAAAACATTATGAAGATTATCACTATTTAATTTCCTCTTTCTTTCTAACAGCAAGGAAGGATAGCTGACAGAATTCATACATTCAGGGAGATACAATGAGCATGGCTTTAACAGCATATAGGAAGATCATCTTCACAATCACCCAGTGGTTTGGGATTCACTATAGGTGAATGGGTTATTTTAAAAAAATCTGAAAATCATATATTCACTCTAAGTGCTTAGGCTTATCACAGTATCTGAGTTTCACTGCGTCATACAGAAGTATAACCTCCTCTTCATATACCTTGAGCTGGATAATGACAAACATGGATTTGTGTTATGAACAAAAGGCCAAAGATTTTAATTTTATCTTTTTAAAATATAGGACAGAGTGATTCCAGTCTTTTTATAATGCCATTCAGTAGAAATTAGGAATATGGATGATGTTTTTCAGTCTTCTACTCCATTCTCTCTGAATATTTCTACGGAAAAGGAGGTCCAATGCTTTTTCCATCTCAGATGAATTAATCTATTATTCCTCAAATGTTCTCTTCAACTAAAAATGTTGTCAGTATTTCTTTTCTCCTTTTTGGGGAGCATTTCTGATTGTGCTCAACTAAAAATCATGTCTGTTCTGGAATGGAATCTGATGAATTCAAAGATAGCTCTACTTTTGCCTGATACTAAATCTGGCTCTGAATTTGTTAGGACATTTAGTTACTGATTTTTGTGAAAAAGAACTCTCAGGACATGACCTAGAAAAGATCTACTTGAATCAAAACATCCCAAGAAATTCTATGTACTTTGTATGAATCAGTTTTAGAAAGCAGAGATTATGTATTATGTCAAACATAATTTACAGAAAAAATAAAACACTGCCAAGTTTTTTTGGATTGTGATAGAAATATTCAACTTGTAAAATCTCTAAAAACCACAAAATGTTAAAAAAAAGAGAGCAGAGAAATATTTATTTTACAGTATACCACAATACCACAGCAAGATGCAAGAAAATTAGAGGCAAAGAACAGAGGAATAATTTTAAAGGACAAATTATGCACAAGAGGAAAAGACATAGTTTAAGAAGAACTGTAAAGAGGAAGAAAGAAGTTAATAATATGATTCATCAAGCTGGTGTTATATCAAGCTTGTATACAAGGAAATAATAGTCTAGAGTATATTGTAATTTCTGTCATTTACTTACAGTAACCCTTTGGTGTAGTTCAGCTTTTGTTTCCTCATCATCTTGCAGCTCATTAGATATTGAATTAAAATCTGCTTGCCACAGAGATACAAACTCCTGCTTAAGATGTGGACGTTTCAAATAATCTTGAAATTTTTTTCTGTAAATTACGGTAAAAATAACTTTTGGGTTACAGAATGGCCCATGAAAAATACAAAATGCTAATATTAATGTAATAAGATACTATTCATACTTACCTAATATCTGATGTGTAATGAATTATAGTGTACTGTTCATCCCTTAGACATCTAAGTACAGTTTTGATCGTATTCATATATGTATTTTCTACCGCTTCCCAGTAAGGTACTAAAAAATCAATCATCTCCTGTGAATTGTTAAAAACATCAAAATTAATTGATTTATTTCTTGGCAATTAATCTATCTGTAGCATTAGAAAATACACAAAAACATTATTTCATGAAACCATATTATTGATTTTTTTTCACTATGTATTTCTTTTGGTTTACAGCTGATTACAGACATTGTACCAACATATACTTTTATCCTGTGATTTCTTTGGGAAAAAGTAGTCGATCTCTAAAGAAATGTGAAATTCCAGCAGAATATTCCAGTATTTGGTTTGGATATGCTCATAAAATAATGATGATACTGAATGATCACTGAGTAAGAAAATTTTGTCATTCATAATTGTTTGGGCTCCTAAAAATCTAAGCTAACTGCCTAGTGTTGCAAAAGTGATGTTTGACGGACTGACTGTTATGAAATGTAAATAAAGGCCATGGCCAGAGGAAACCCAGCATATGTGAGCTGATTGCAGTTAACAGGAAAAACTGGTAAACATTAGGAAAACAATTACAGAACAAATTTCAATTCATCATTGTCCACCCTTGAAAAATCTGCGTCTCAAAAACTGCATGCAGTCCCAGCCACTCCTCTCAAAAAATTTACAGAAGAACTAGAACAGATTATAGCCGGATTGGAGAACAAAAGCAACATTCAGCAAAATGAACACTTAAGAGATGCTTGTCATATCTTAAATGCCCTCAGAGGTTGATTATATAATTATTACTCATTGTATCTCTCAATATGTGAATTACTGTCACCATGGATTAGGGTCACCAAATGATCCAAGCAAAGATCATGGTTTCAAGTGAAGAAACAGAAATATTTTTTCAGAATTAACATAATTATACAAGCTATGTCACAGAGAAGAAAAAGTAAATGGCTTCAAAAAAGCTACTAAACCAAATAAAAATCATAACCATTCGAAGAAAAGTCCATCGAGAGCTACTAAGCTCAAGATACAGAAATACAGCCATTTCAGAAAACCCCTAAATTTCAGATCACTAGAATCTGAGCAGATGTCCTTGGGGAGAAAATATTAGGGAAAAAATATACTAGGAGAAAGATTAGTGCACAGTCTGCTCATTCTTACTCTTTGTATGAGAACCACAGCTTACTCTTGCCAGAGAAAGAAAAATGATCTAGTAAGTTTGTGTTAGTATTTCATAACAGTAAAAAGCATTACTGTTTTGACAGCTGTGTTCTTCATGATAATTGAAAGAATTAAAAAAAAAATTAAATTTGAAAGTACAATTCCTTTTTTTATGTATTTTAGTAGCAACTGTCCTTCGTATATCTATCACAAAGTAATAGCATACTTTTTATTGAAAAATATTGAAAAAAACAACACGCAATGATGTAAAAGGTTTAGGTAGGACATACATAAAACACTAATAAAAATATATACTTTGATATTTAAGATTTTCAGTTGGAATTTAGTGTACCTGGGGAAGTGGTTCCTCTACATAAATCCATTCATCCGATCCTGGTTCAATCACTGGTGGTGCCTCAGATGAGGGAGGAGACTGATCTGTAACTGGTAAAACCTTTTCTTCTTCCTTTGTGACTGGTAAAACCTCTTCTTCATCTGTAACTGGTAAAACCTCTTCTTCTTCTGGTGGTGGTGGTATTTCTTCAGCAGACCCTTGATATGAATGTGCAATTAATACTTCCAAACGTATCTTAAGTATCAATAAACAGAATTAGACATCTTTGCTACTCTCACATGTTCAAAATAATGTAACAGATTCACTGTTTCATTACTTAGGTGCTGTTCATCAAAAACATACTCATGAATCAGGAATTCTCAATGAAGATTGGATCAGTTAACACCTAAACAAACTTGACATCCATAAATGCAAGGGCCCTAACAGGACCATCCCCAAAGGCAGAGGGAACTGGCAGACATAGTAGCTAGCTGGGAGATGTGCTCCCAGCTCATGATCATCTTTGAGAGGCCATGGAGATCAGGACAGGTGCCTGAGGACTGGAAGAAAGCAAATGTCACCCTGGTCTTCACATCAGACAAGAAGGAGGACACAGGGAACTACCAGTCAGTCAGTTTCATTTAAATCCTTGGAAAGGTGATGAAGAGCATCATTCTGGAGATCATCTCTATCCATATGGAAAACAAGAAGCTCATCAGGAGTAGTCAGCATGGATTCACTAAAGGGAAAACACACTTGACTAACCTGATAGTCTATTCTGGTTATATGAACCTAATAGTGAAGGACACCTTGAAAGCTGTAAACATAGATATGGAATTTAACTTTATTAGTTTAATACCCCAGGTATTATTTTTAATTACCCCAGGTAATTAATTTTTTATAAATTATTTTTAAATTCTATTAATTTAAAAAATTATATTAATTCTTTTTATTACTCTGGTATTTTTCCTCAGGGAATAAGTAGGCCTTAAATATTTCTATATAACAGCTGGATTCTAAATAGAAAATCTTCAGTTCATTTGCAACAATAGGAATTTTGCTGTTGAATCTAGCAGGGCCATGAATTATATACCAAGCATATAAAAAACCCTATGAACTAGAAACTGTGCACAGGAATAATGGCATAAACTTTTACAAATGCTTTTCAAAGTAGGTTTTTTTTTGGTGGTAGAAGACATATGAAGATTTTCTTATAATAGTTAGGCAAAAACCTCTGGTTATTTAGAGATCACTATCACTGGTTTACATGATGCATTTGTAACCTTGGATGCTTCATTCGTTTTTCTTTTTTTTTTTTTTTTTAATAATTTTAAATTATTCCTTCTTTCTGGATAATAAGGAGGAAAAAAGAAACTAAGACGTACCAAAATTAAATGTCAAAACCACTTATACTTATCCATATTTTTATGCTGCTACTGATATATGATATGAGATACTGACTCTTTGTTCATAAATAGCAAGTTAGACATTCTTATACAATTATGCTGTCCCATAGATGACGATGATGGCTGTAATTTTTAAACCAGGAAGAAAGGACTGAATTTAATGCTTTAATTTTTATGTGAAATTGGTCCATATACTCAGAAAAGGTGAAAACACAACAAAAAAGTTCAGGCTTCTGGTGCAATTATCACTAACTTGCAAATCCTCAGATTTTTTCAGGGGCAACAAAAATGTAGGTTTGACATATAATTTTATATAGTAATTATTAGTCTTAATTATAAAAGACAAAGTCTTTTGTTACTGAATTCTAGAAAGTAAGAGTATGAAAACTTACTTCTATCCTGATTTTTCACAATTTCTTCTATTATAATTTCCTTCACTGTTTCACACACAAGACTTTCTTCTGTCTCTGCATTTACTTTCACTAGATTGTTTTGTTGGACTGAAAACCATTTCTCTAATTTTGGCCATGTCTTTAGGAAGCCTGAAATCCTACAAAAATCATATCAATGTATGAAATTAAAATTTAACTAATGGAAAAAAAAAACATTTTCTAAAATTGATAACTAAAAGAAAAACCAGATCATCTAATTTAACACTAAAACAACTCTACCCACATCAACCTCATCATTTTAAATATAAGAAAGTTTTCAAAATTCTATTGACAAGTAATAATATATTTCTTACTCTTTCATATCACAAGCTATATTCATTTTCTAATATCACAATTAAACCAATACTGATGCGTAATATAATAGTCTGAAACAGTTAACAGTATCAAACATTCAGAAGAAAGAATTGTTCTTTATTTTCCTCTTTGTGAAAAGTTAAATTAATGATTAAACTAGTGATTCAATTTAAGTTAGAAAACTAAGTGGTTTTTGTAAATGTAGAAGTGGAAAATAACATTTTACAAAATCTCTAACTTAAATCAAGTGTATTTCACTTAAGGGCAGTCACACGTGTGACAGACCTCAGATATAAGTGCACACATAGATACACACACACACATATATATATACACAGAATGTATACACAGTTCATGCAATATATACCTGAAAACTAAATTCCCCTTGGAACAATACCCTGGAAAATCAAACACAAGAATTCTTCTTTTCCAGGAGGATTTATATTGCGCAGAAAATGAAAATACCCTTTAGGCTCCACATTATAGAAAGGTCTAAGTAAATTCTTAACATTAAGCACTGTAAGTATTGTCCTGGATCACATATGAGACTCAGATCTGTTACACACCTAACATCTGGCTGAAGTAATATTTTTGTACTTCATGTAACTTACCTATGTAGCACCTGCTCCCTGGCCAAGTCAATATTTTCTTCTAGGATTTCAGAATCTGAATTTTGATTGCTGCTCTGTTCAGACTGAGAAGCCTTTCTTTCATCAACTGTGTGGAAAACTAATATAGAAGCATATATTCAAAAAGGCAATTATTCAGACAGTTATTCACCCAAACCAAGATAATAATTTTAAGAACAAATTCAGTGTTTCTTGATTTTACATTTCTTAACTTAAAAGTTGGGTACCACCCAACACCAGCAGGGTGTCCTGCCTCTTCCTCAGTTTAAGGGCACAGCCAATTATAGCACTAACATTTCCTAATGGATGCTTTTTAGCCATTGAAATCTCCAGTTGAAGATGTGGAGCATTCCTGTGTGACTATTTCAGGCTTATCTACTCTACCAATTAGAAGGTATTTTCCCAATTTCATCCAAAGTACCTACTTTTCACAATGAACAGACATCCCACTTCATCAAAAGACAAAGTATTCTCTCTTTCTGAGTCTTCTTTAAATTTTAAAAAAGCCTTTAATTCATTAGATTTTAAATTGTTCTATTGATTCTTTCTGTCATCACATTTACATCTTATGAAATAAATTCTATGTGTATTTCTGGGATTTTATTAAATATAACCACATGTTACAAGTGTTTTGGCAGCATAAGGTCTTAAAATTAGCAATTTTAAAGTCTCTGTACATTTATCCCCAACAGATTTTTAGCAAAAGCTCTAAAGATCTTGTCCCATCCTCACTCCTACCCATACATAAAAGCCAAATGTATATAGTGCTTTAACTCAAGCTATTTGCCATCTATGCACTGCAATGAAAACTACAAAGAAGAATCTCCTCCTAATTTGGATAACACATGACATACTCATTAAAAAACGACTGTTTCAGCAAGGTCTTAAAATGTGTGGTCTGGAAGTGAAAAAGCTCTCAAAAAACCTTTGATGTCTTTGCCTTGTTTGACCAGAATTGACTTCAATTTCTGATCATTCCCTGACTAACTGAAGACAAGACAAAGGCAGTAATCAATAGGGAATTTATTCTGGCATTCTCAGGGAATGAGTATTGGCTCATCCCTCTGTCTATAATTTCCTTTTTCCCTTTATAAGTGTGTCTCCTGAAGAAAAACACTATTTACAGACACACACTTGTAATGCAGTATATTCTGCATCTATTGTAACTTGTGGTTTTTTCCTGCTGCTGTTTTATGTGATATCTAACACCACCCACTGTGCTATCTCAGCTGCAGTGAGAGTACAAATACAAGAAAGCACATAGACATGCACTTGCCCACTTTTGATCTGCCTTTGTCTGAAACAAACAGAAGTATCTGAAATAACCTGGAAGTATTCAAGGTACCATTAACAAAATGATACTGTGAGATAAAGAAATTTTTCAGTAATGCTATTTTGCATTATTAACTACAAGTTACAGATATCTGCTTGTCATCTTACTTTGTTAATAGGAGTTGGAAACTTACACTTCATGTTAGCTGCACGTTCCAGTACCAGACTGTCTGAAATATCCAATAATATAGAAACATCAAATGCAGGTGAGGTAGGACGAGGCTGGGTAGGGGCTCTGGGATCTATAGCAAGGGACAGCTTTTCAGAAATTGGATCTTTTGCTTCTACATCAATCCCTGTATAGGATTTTTCAAATAGCTTTGCCTGATTGATTGTCATTGGAAACCCCTCCACAATCCACCCCTTCTCTGGTGATATTTGGCTAAAAGGAAATGAAGAACCAGAATTACACAGTGAAATGATAGCTTAATAATAAAACTGAAATAACAGCTTGCTCTAGCCACCATCCATTCTTAATTCAGTACATTAAATTTCCTGATGCATACAGAATATGACAGATATTATTAGACTGTAAAGTAATGGATTTTAAATCAGAAGAAAATAGCATCAAGTCTAATTAAAGTGAAAAATTCAGAAACAAAATGATTTTTGCTGTCTTGATAAATAAAGATTTCAAAACCACTCTAGAGACTACTCAGAGGCATACTTTAAGTTTTCTCAAATAAATCTTTTGCTCAAGAAATAAACAGGAAAATCTATTTTATAATTTACAGTATACTAATGGGAGTAATACAACTTAAATGATATTCATGTAAGAACTTAAGTGCTAACGGCATTTCAGGATAGTTGAGACAATTTTCTGTCAAACAAGAGTAGATAAAAGCAAGCATCTATACAGTTTCATACGTAATGGCTTCCAATAGGATGTCAACTAGCAATTCATCAGGAACACTTTTTCCGTTCTTCAGCCATTTCTGTAATTCAGCACCAAGTTTGGCACGCACAGACAGCTGTGGAAGAGTGCAACAGAAGTATGCTGAGAATGTCCATAACTGTCATTAAAAAGAGTTGTTGAAAAGTGTGTGACTCCACATTTCATATAATATACTATTTATTTATTTATTTATATTGGGGGTGGTGGCTGTTATTTATCAATAACAGTTGGGGTGAGTCTACTAAGGAGAATAGACCATTTTTAAATTATAAAAGATGCCTAGTTTAATTGAAATCTCAACCTGATTTCCATGATTATACTCAAAAAAATGCCGAAAAAAACAAGATAGAGAAACTAAGGATATGAAGGCCAAGAAATTAAAATTAAGTGTTCTGATTCTCAGCTCATTCTGATATCCATTACCACTGATTACTTCATACAGCAGCACATAAATTCATTAGTATTACAAGTATTCTTTTATATCATAGCTCCAGAAGTAATTTTGAATTAGCAGTAGGCCATAGAAATCACTGTAGAATTAAGCATTTTTAACATAAAGAAAAGAAACCTTGTCACAGGAGGAATTATCTGCTTGGCTGCAGCAAGCAGAAATACATTTTTGCTAACTCAGAAATGCCATAGAAAATATCACATCTTATGTAAATGTGAGATTTCACAAAAAATATAGAATTTTAATAAGAAGTACAACTCTAAACAACATGCAGAGGAACAGATTTTCACAAAAGCCCTTTTCATATTTCAGAAAATACTTGAAGTCATGTCAGTAATTCAGAATTATGAACTTAACCACTTCTATGGATGTATTTTTATAAAGTAGAAACTAAAATTGGACTACTAACCTTGGATAGGCCATCCTGACTGCTATCCAATTCAAATTCTTCCTGGATTTCTTCCTGGGATGTATCCTTTTCAACAGGACAATTGTCTAAAATAAAGTTTGATGATGCTATTACTATCAAATTCATTATTACAGATAAAGAATAAAAGTACATGGTTTGTTATTGTTCTTTGAACAAATCAATAGAGAAGGTACATAAAATTGTTAGAATCATAGGAGCGTTGAGAAATTTAGGTTGGAAGCAACTTCTCCATGTCACCTGGTTCAAATACAACCTTCTGCTCAAAGTGGCATCAGTTATAAGGTCCGACTAGGTTGCTCAGTTGTTTACCCCATGTGAACTGGAAAACCTACAAAGATGGAGACTACACTAACTCTCCAGGAAATTTGTTTCAGTATTTGGCTTTCTTCATGGGGAAAAGGCCTTGTCTTGCGTCTAGGCAGAAAGGTAACAAAAAGGGCTTTTGCAGATCTCTCCACAAAAGAAGGGCTGGGGAAAACGTCTGCTGGGACATGCAAACAACTGAGGTATCCCAAGACCCTGAGACACACAGGAAAATCTGTGCAATGAGAAATACTTACCTGCGTTAAGTTCTGTGGTGGGTTCTGTGGTGGGTTCTGTGGTAAGTTCTATGGTAAGTTCTGTGGTCGGTTCTGTGCTAAGTTCTGTGCTGGGTTCTGTGGTAAGTTCTATGGTAAGTTCCGTGCTGGGTTCTGTGGTAAGTTCTGTGGTAAGTTGTGCGTCTGTGGTTTCAAGCTCCTCTAGATTTGGTGGTGAATTTGGTAAGTTTTCCTGGTCCTTGTATCAAATATGACAGGAAATGGATTAGAATGAAAATGACATTTTACAGAAAAAACTAGCCTGTAAATTCAAGCTGAATCTTCCAGTCTTACCTGTCAAAACCTAGAATTAAGTCAGAAATTGAGTAAAAAAATTCAAGCATGCTTTTTTCCTTACACATTTCATTCCCATCTACCTGTTAGAGCCAAGACCAAAACTAGGGAATATACTTACCTCATTTTGCTCTCCAGAACTCTCTGCTTCCTGTGATATTATGCTGGATTCACTTTTCATTTCATTATTAAGAAAAGCTTCAATGGCCTCCTGAACCAGAGTGCCAACAGATAGTACCTGAATATTGCAAACTAATACACAAAAATATTAGATAGCTACAATATGAGTTGAGTATACATACAGAGAAACTATTACAATCAGTTAAATTAATTATTTAATCTGGGCTTCTAATGTAAATTGTTTTCAGTCTTTCTTCTCTGTAACTACTTCACAGTGTCTATCGACAATCACATAGTTATCTTACTAGTCTCTTCTAAAACCAGTATCTCCAAAGAAGTTCACCAAAAGCATTTCCCAATTCTCAACAAAGAAGTATTAACATTACAGTACAATATTAATATTACTTTCAAGTTCCAGTGTTCCTAAGTTTATTTTGAAATATAACAAAGGAATGACATGCAATCAACCCCAGCAAAATACAGATGCATCTGAGGTTCAAGAATTATTAATGCAATGATTTTCCCAAACAATTTTAATTTAAGAGTGGGATTTTAACACAAATATTTTAAAGAATTTTTGGCAAACAAACAAACAACCTCTACCTTTTTCAATAAACTTTGCACAGGTAGTTTTTCCACTAAACATTTTTCCCAAAACACATCCCTTGACAGGAAATGAAGGAAATTCACGTGAAGATTTGGGTTTTGGAGGATAGAACATTTCCATCAGTCTACGAAGTATATGACCCAATATGTTATTATTAGGAGGAGGTTTGTTTTCACTGTTCTCTTCAGCTGGGCTCCATTCCCCTGTCATACTCTGTATAAATGACAAATTAGCAAATCTCAATATTGCTATAATCTTGCCTTCCATCTTTCTAAATATACATACTTATTCACATAAAAAATACATAAAATAATTAAATTTGAATAGTACTCAATAACAACATAGTTTTTAGAACAGAACCTCATTAAAACCTATAATTATGTCATAGTCATTAAATATTTATCAATGTTCACTAATAACTAGTTGAAAGACAAGTACTTATATAAACATTTTCATAGATTCTGTGATTCTGCCTCTGGATAGATGCCACAGAGAAAATACAACAAAAGGTTCATGAGTTAAGGACAGGAAGAGATCACTCACCAGTTACCACTATGGGCAAATAGACTCGAAAATAGACTCGACCTGGGGGAACTGGTTGAAATTACCATGAATCAAAATCAGACAGGATGGTGAGCACTAAAACAAATCCTACAAACATCGTCCTCCCAGACCTCCCTCCTTTCCAGGCTAAACTTTATTCCAAATTGTGTAATTCCTCCTGCCCTGCAGAACAAGAGAACAGGGAATGGGGGTTATGTTCAATTCCTCATGTTGCTTCTGCTGCTGCTTTCTCCTCAGAGTGGAACCTTCATCCGCTCCAGCATGCAGTCCTTCTCACAGGAGCCAGTCCTCCACCAATATACCCAGCCTGAGTCCTCCTTATGGGCTACAGTTCACAAATGGCTCCAACTTGGTCCCTTTCATGGGGTACAGCCTTCCATGAACACGCTGCTCCAACATGGGTCCCCCATAGGGTCACAAGTCCTGCCAGGGAACCTGCTCCAGTGAGGGCTGCTCTCTCCATGGGCCACAGCTCCTGCCAGGAGCCTGCTCCAGTGAGGGGCTCTCTGCACAGGCCACAGCTCCTGCCAGGAGCCTGCTCCAGTGAGGGGCTCTCTGCACAGGCCACAGCTCCTGCCAGGAGCCTGCTCCAGTGAGGGGCTCTCTGCTCAGGCCACAGCTCCTGCCAGGAGCCTGCTCCAGTGAGGGGCTCTCTGCTCAGGCCACAGCTCCTGCCAGGAGCCTGCTCCAGCACAGGCTTCCATGGGGTCCCAGCCTCCTTCAGGCACACCCAGCTGCTCTGCTGTGGCTCCTCCAGGGGCTGCAGGTGGATCTCTGCACCACCATGAGCTTCCATGGGTTAGGGTAGGATCTCAACAACAGAGCATGGAGCACTTCCTCCTCGTCATTCACCACTGACCTCAGTGTCTGCAGAGCTGTTCCTCTCACACCTTCTCACTCCTCTCTTCTCTGACATCTGCACAAACCCTTTTTTTCCTTCTTAAATATTTTATCACAGAGTTGTCACTGCTATCCCTGGTTGGCTCAGCCTGGGCCAGTGACGAGACCACCTTGGAGTCGGTGCTGGCATTGACACATGGGACATGGGGGAAGCTTTCAGCAGACTCTCAGAGAAGCCATGTCTGCAGCTCCCCACTATCAGAACTTTGCTGAGCAAATTTAATACAGATTCCTATATAACTTCTTTAATTCCATACCCATGAAAAGTAATTTCACCAATATTATAGAATTAATCAGTAGCTGATTTTTGTACTAGAAATTCACTATCCTAATATTCTGCATTCTAAAACTGGGCAACATTATTGCCCAGTATCACTTTTAAACCTCTGAAAATTTCATTAGTAAAGATTTCAAATACATGTATTTGCCTAACACACATTCAATAGAGAGAAAAAAAAAAATCAAACCAAAGCCAGCAACTCAAACAAGTTCAAACTTCATTAAGGGAAGGAAATATCGAGTAGAAACTTCCAGTTCATCTACCCTGAGATAAATAGAAATTTATCAATTGTATGATTTAATAGGTTTTAGTAGTAAAGATCATTTTATTGAAAATCACACTGGAAGAATGAAAGAATGTAGTCCAAAGAATGGAACACAGAACTGTACTGTTACTCTACCAGTTTCGCATCTTATAGCATAAGGAAAGTCCAGCTGTCCTGGAGTTTATGCTGCAAGAATCTAAAAGATATTTTAGTATGCAGAATAATACTAGTCCTGAATTAATATTCATTTGGTTGGAGAATATTAAACAGCTGTTTGGAAATGTGTAGACTAATAAAATTTCCCATAAGACTCTAGTTTGTCTCTTCATTTTGGGTGCACAACAAAGCTTTGAAGGCAAAGTCAAAGATTTCAGCCAGGAACATTCCAAGCAGGTAAAAAGGAAGAAAAAACTGGTTCACAATGAGACTAGTAAATCATGGTAAAAGATTGCACAGAGAATCTGTGAAATGTCTATCCTTGGAATAATTGAAAGTTGACCAAATGATGCTAAGCAACCTCACCTGCCTCAGAAGCTGGCCCTGCTTTAAGCAAATGACCTTCACAAGCCTTTAATCAAAACCATTGTGTCATTCTATAAATTAAATATTTCATCACCATCAACAGAAGCAAACAATGCTAAAGTTCTACTCAAAGATAAGGTTTTGAACTAATGTTCTGGGTAGAATATGCAAAATTCTCCTGAATTTACTATCTGGACCATGTATTGCCATAGCATACATTTTACTAGTAGAACATGATCAATGCTGACTTTGAACATGTCTACTAGAACAAAAAAAACAATTTAATTATCAGTCTAAAATAAATTTAAATTAATATTAGAAGTCACTTATTTTTAATAAGTATAAACAAATCAAGTAAAAATTTTTGGGTTGCACCCTATCCCCTCTCTATCATCTCTCAGAAAACATACTTCTTCATGTGTAATTGAAAAGACATCCTTAACAAAACCCAAATACTTGCACTATCTGAATGATTTTTCTTTAAACCTATAGGTAGAGAAGGGTCAGTTCTTTAAATTCTATTAGACCTCTAGAAAAAATTAATTCCAAGTGGAATGGGTTCCCCCACTTTTCAGTTATCTGACCCTTTTAACCAGAGGACTGTTGGACTGTACCTCTCACGAGGTAAAATAGTTTACCTTTCAGAAACAAGTTTTCAGGCATTCACATGGGAGTTATGTAATTCATGGTCAGTACTTTTGAACGAAACCAGCAATTATTCCAGCAGTACCTAATGCTAAGCTTGGTTTTTGGTTATTGTGTTAATTTATTAAGTGATTAGCCACAACTTATAACATGGTAGTTTCAAAAACTTATTCTCACAATAAAATATAATATGTAATGTGCAATGGACTGATGGCACTGCATTTTCTTGTATTTTATCAAATACACCTGACACTTTTAGCTGGTATGCCTAATGTAGGCAAGGTATTCTTGAGAGATGCCAAACTGCCTGTCCTGGGCTTTTTTCACAAACATTAGGAAAATCTCTACAAACATTGTGAGAATGACCAGCCAACAAATTTTTATCTAGAAGCAAGACTTTGAAAGAATTAGCTGTTCACTAAGGTTTTTAGAAGACATAAGTATGAACTTGTGCCAACAATTTCACACATCATATGATGGCAGTTTTTGGTTAATAATGATTCAGAAAGGTATAAGACTAACAACATCTGGGAATAAATTAAATACGAAATAATTTGAAATAGCCTGGCAGGAAAAAAGAGGCCTTAAATGTATCAATAAATTTTTCTGACATTCAGTGATGTTACACTTATAGAAGATTACTGAGACTTCATAATGTAAACAAAACTATGACTGAAAAACTTAATTTTTCATTAGTGCTCTCTGTTATAAATCCCCAACAAGAAAAAGACTGGGTATTTGCCATGATTTTGTCACATTCTACTCACAAGGCTATTTGAAAAGTCTAAATATGTAGTGGGATTTAATTAATATAACCATGAATATAATTTTTAAAAAACTGTACAACACATTTTAACCAGGAACCATCAACCCTTAATCTTTCAATTTTGAAATAACACTGATGTATTGAAAAGTTGATGAAGTTAATATACCCTGAAAAATATTCACTTGTATTCTAACAGAAGATTAAGAAAAATGTCAGCCATTTTTAATAATTTCCAAAAAAGGTTACTGTATTAAAACCAATAGTTCACTCAAACCAATGCATCTTGCTAGAAAGCTTTCACTCAAAATTGCTGAAATTAAGAGTTCGGGTTTTGTAACATTTCTGGTATTTCATTTTACTGTTTTTACTGGTTACATTCCGTTGCATTTTCCAATCTGGTAATATTAACTATATCTTTAAATTTCAATTAGCTGAAAATTCACTGCATTGCAATTAACATGTTGGTCCTACAACTCATGAAATATAATCAAGGTTATACATAAGAATGGAATTATAACTCCTACTAACATCAAATACAGTTTTCATACAAAACATCAGGCAATGAAAAGAAAATGCTTGTCTAAACTTGCCAACAGAAACCAGTAATAGAACAAAATGCAAGATCACAACATGAAGTTTATGATTTTGAAAAAGCAAGGTGTATTATCTTCCATTACGCCTTATCAGTTTGGTGTACCTTGTATTCACCATAATCTTTTTCATCTAACAGACTGATTTTATTCAGCTCTACAAGTTGTTCTGGGCTAGGTTCATCTGACAAAGGTTGAACTGAGGCTTGTTCATATATTGGTTTTCCTTTAAAAAAAAGTTCCTTCCAATCCAGCATCAGTTTAAATGGAACACGGCTGCATAAAAATGAAAAAAGGGAAAAGAAAAAAAAAACAGTTTTAAACAAAAAATTAGAAGGCTGGATATTTGGCAATATCCAATAGTGTACCCAAATTTACAAGAATTCCAATCATGAAACAAGCATATGCTAAACTAGCTATAGTTTATAATGCATCCTGTAATTATTACAGCCTCTTATAAGTGTTTGTTTCCTTTTATGACAGTTGTAGACACTTGTAGGCTTCAGTGTTTTCACAATGTGTCATCACACAATATTTGGCTAGCAGAGCTGTGTAGTAACAGTTTTGTTATTGCTACTTTTCCCTGCCCCAAAATATTCTTTCTTTTGTGCTGTAAAGCCTCCTCTTACCAAAAAAATATATAGAATATTTTTTTCTCAAAGTCAAAATTAATTCAGAATTATATGAATTAAACTTTTTCTTTAGTTAGTAATTTCACTAAACTATGTGCCTAGGTTGACTATTTTACCACATACTAAATAAGCCTAAATTTATATAATTTCTATTAAATAATCATGTGTATTTCATATTGTTACACTTTTATTATTTTAACATAAAATTACACTAAAAAGCAATAAGATTTTGGCATTTTCTAATACTGTAAGTCTAAACCCACAGTCAAATCACTGAGTATTAATGAAAGAACCACAGCAGTAACTCCCCACTCCACAATATTTGAAACACTTCTACAGCATGGGCACTTGGAGATTACTGCCTTTGTAGGACCTTCTCAAAAACCCTGTGTAATTAGGGCATGTCAGAAGAGGGAATCATAGCATGGAGGACTCAGGAGAACCTGGGCTCAGTTGATGTATTTTGGACACTCCAGGCAGCATATATAACTTGGGAAATTCATCCTGTTTGTATTATTCTGAGGAAGTGTTCACCTAGTGAAGCAAACTAGGATGAGATGAGCACCATTCAGTTTTAACTTTTAACTAAGGAATTTGTTAATAAGAAAGGAAATCAGCAGTTCCACAAACTGTGGCCCTAGTGGATTTTGGTCTCCTAAGAATTCAAGTCAGTTGAGTTTTCAAGAAATCATGCTAAGGCTGTAGCATTAGTTCACTCTGAATTACGCACCAGTCAATCCACACACAAAAATAATGCTACCATTCTCACATTCAAACTAATTTCAGCTGCCATGTAAAATATCTGAGAACTACATAATTTGCTATAATGCTTAAACCAGTCTGATTAATGCAGCCTAACAGCTGTTAGTTTTGCCTAGCAGCTACATACTCACTTGTTCGTCAGTTGACGATATTCTCCTACTTTTGTCGATATATCAATGATTTGGTCTATCATTTCCCAACACATAGAATAATGCTTTTTATAGCGTGCCTGAGCTCTTTCAGCAGCAATTTTCTCATGGTATTTTCTTTCTCTGGTTATTTGTTCTTCATTATCAATAGTTTCTTGCTTTGCAAGAGCCTAGAATTGTTTTTAAGGAAAAAATTTGAGACTGCAATGAAAATGAAAGTGCAGAGGTACACAGTCCCGAAAATGAAAACTAACTTAAGAAACAAGAACAGCTTGATTCTCACCAGAGTTGCACAGCCAGCAGGCAGACTAACACATAAACAAATCTAAGCATTTTTATTCACTCTGTAAATTCCCATTTGTTTGCTTTCTAAAATAGAATAAAATAAAGGAGAAGCCTATTACTTCTTTTATGAATAACAGATTAAGACATATTCAGTCCTTGAGGGCAGTGAAATTGCAGCTTTCAATGTAACAACCAGTTTAGAACATGTAATTTATCTTACTAGAGTCTGATCTTCAAATAATTTCATATTATTGATGTTGTTCAATCTTTGAAAGATTTCTGGTCATGGTAGAAAATTATCAGTAGTTCCTGTAGTGGCATGCTCCATCACCACCCCCTGTGGTGGGGGCTGAAAGCATACTTAAAAAGATGATGTGATCAAAAGCTATAGCTGCTGATTACATAGTATTCCACCTGTGTTGTAGGATTTGTATTTGCTGATCGTTTTTGACAGGAGAAAAAAAATTCTAGTATTACATTATGGCCTACCATGAGCATAGCACTTGGCAGTTTTCCACAGAATTATAAGTCATTTTGATCAAATTAAAGCTTCAAAGCAGAAATTAGTGCTCATGAGTGAAACTACTCCAGCATTTTTCAAAAACAAACTTTAACAGATCATATCTAAATGAAATTAAGAACATGATTCCTGAAACGGGAACTTAGGTTATTGTCCAGTTGCCTCTGTGAGACTGTGCCTTTTAAAACTCAGCACACAGAGAAGTCTTCCTATGAAGACATTACAATCAATATGGAAGAAAAATCAGATTTTCAGTTCCTCACCTTTATCCCTTAATACAGGACCATGGAACAATAGAATGGTTTGGGTAGGAAGGGACCTTTAGAGGACACCTAGTTCAAACCTGCTGCCATGGGCAGGCCCAGCTTTCACTGGATCAGGTAGATTAGCTGTTCTTTCTCACTGCAAAATTCCCCCAGACTACTAACACAGTACAAAATGCACTCAGTTCCACAGTTACAGTTACATCCTTATTGCTTATAGCTGTGACTTCAAACAAGGACAAAAGAATATATTTATCACTAAATCATCATGTCCCCAGAAAAGTCCTGAAGTCTAACAGTTAGCAACACAAATTCCATTTTGTAACAGGAAGGTACTCTAGCACTCCTGCAGCAATTCACAGATCAATCTTTTACCGCTTCTCTGTCAAGGGCTTCCTGGAACTCCTTCCGCCGTCTTTCTTCATATTGCTTTTCCCTGAAAATTCTGTTTTGCCTTATCACCTCTTTTTCATGCCGAACATGCATGAGTTGAGCAGCAATCCTTCGCTCATGCTGAGATTGTTTCATTAGCCTGTAAATGAGCTGCTCCTCCCGGTAAACCTTCTAAAAGATAAAAAAATAATAGTACTAAGCACAGCTGATAAACTATTTCCTAGAAAACTCATCAGTGTCTAATATGAGAAATAGAAATGCTGTCATATAATGGCATTCACCTACTTACATGGGACATAAATTCAGAACAACATTAATATCTATTTATTGGTACAATTTGCACAAACTATGTAAGAATTCAAAATATGTCTTAACTGAGATACCCAGTAAAAATACATCTGGTCAGACTAACTCCATTTTAATGTAGTTATTTCCCATGTGCAAAGAAACTGCAGCATATTTCAAATAACAGCTTCTTATCTGAATATATACCCTTTCTTCAAATCATTAATTTAACCCTGTTATTCACCAGTCCTATTCTCAGCCATAATCTTCAGCATCCTTGAGCAATCTATTTTCTACAGATTTGAAATTTTTTCTTCTTCTGGGGGAATTGGGTAATTATATTCTCCATTCTTCCCTATTCAGCAGGTTGGGACTATGAGGAAAATTTTTTCAAAACCAGGCAAAATACAAGACTTCTGGGTCATAGTTCCAGTGTCCTTACTGGGACATGAAAATAATATACTATGCAGTACAAAAGGAAAATCATTCTGAGCTATTGCTTGAGATGTGGTCTGTATGCACAGACATTTAGAAGGCTGTGAGTTGTTATTTTTTAAAGTATTCTTGAAACATAAAAGTACCTTTTCACTGTTACACTTCTCCAGACTCTTCTTGGTATCTAAACTAATGCTTAATCTAACATCAAGTTTTGCCTTACTATCACAGTCTGAAACTCTTTTTGAGTCCTGAACAAAAACATCAGCTTGCCTTATAAATACCAATGCTACAGCAGAATTCTAGGGGAAATTTCTGATTTGCTGAATATTTGCTTCTGATGCATCAAAACTGCTATGAAATGTACTCAAATTTAAGGACTTAAATTGGGATCTGATTTGAAGATCTCAAATTCATTCTCCTAAAAACAGTGGCACAAGTAAAGTCAGTCAGTAATAATTAAAAAAAAAACAAAACAAAAAATAAAAAACAAAAATACACCAAAATAAAGTATCAAAATAAAGTATTTTCTTTCAATCTGTTTTTTTCATCAGCTGTCTGTGACAGAGAGGGCAAAACACCTTATGTAACTTCACCTATAAATGAAAAATCCAACTTGATTGTATATGACATTATCTATGAAAAAATTCCATGAAGAGATCTATATCTGTCCTACAGAATGGAGCCAGGATACCTGTAATAGAATTCTAATGCAAAGCATGACTGCAACAGTTGCAATAATAAGAGAAGAACTTTCTAAATAATTTAGATATTTAATGCTGATGGTGGGGAGAAGCTAAACAAACAAACAAGCATGTAAATCTCTTTCCATAGTTTTTAAGTTCCTTTCCCTAGAAATAAGTACCTTCTAATTAAATTCTGGTGACTTGAAAATATTAAGCTACTATAAAAATATCTTAATATTTTCCTTATTTTAACCAAAATGTGGGCTTTGCCCTCTGCTTTCCTAGTACTGAGTCTCAAGACAGTCCCCATTAAAAATGGGCACTCATCTCAGCCCTTAATCATAGAGTCCTTCACCTGGATGCTATATTATCTCTCTACAAAACCTTCCACTAAATAAAGACGTCATTTCAAATATGTCTTTTTTTGTTCTTTATCTGTAGCATACTATTTGTAAATTGTTTGTCTATGGAGGGAATTATCATCATACATCCAATGGAAAACAATGCAACAATGCAGTCATAACAACTTCACTCCCTGTGTCACTTAATACAGCTCAGGTGATGAAATTTTCCAATATTGCAGCCTACTGAAGAGTTAATCTGTCCATTTTCTCTTACCTTCATGAGCTCAAGGCAATAACAGGAGGTACAGTGCCCTTTTCTGCCTCAATTCTATCCACTGTTTCATGGTACTTAGTATTTCAATTAAGATTTCAAAGAAGAGCAGAGGTTACACAATTTACTTCCTATTGCAAGTAAATATCCTTAATTTTTTTCATTAGTTGCTGCTTACCCTCAACTACAAATTATTACAGCAGTAATAAGCCTTCACTAGTAGAAAACAGATGTTAAATTCCTTATTGGCAGGGAATTGAAGGAGCCACCCCCTAACAGAGTGCTCAAACCCTAACGTGTCATGCTCAAATCATCAACTGAATGGTGCAAATTGGTCCACTGAGAAATTAAAACACCTTCTCTAGGTGAATTTCCTCTTCATAAAGGAAATTGGAAGATGCTCCTTTAGAACACTTCACAGCAGACAAAACAGATTTTCAGTGAGAAAACTGAAGAGAACTTCAGTATTTTAAGTGATCAAATACTTTGTCAAACCCACTAGGCCTAAAGAGAGTCAGTAGGAAATTCTTCAGGAACAAGAAAAACAGAAAGGCAATTAATTCAAAACTTCACAACAGACAAATAAGGATTCAAAACTCCAAACTTGTACTTTCCAAAAGGATCCTCATTGGATGGAGGAGTGCAGCATTAGTAGCTATCTTTCACACAAAAAGTAATGCAGAAAGTACTCAAGCCAAAGGCTGGAAAGTTTTGAAACTTCTGAACATACAAGGACAGAAAATAAAAATTGTAGAAAAAGTTTGTGACCTAACATTTTCTATCAGCATCTCCGGAGAACGGAGAACTGTGAAGTGCTGGAAGAAATCATAAATATCACAAATAGGACAACTTAGTAATACTTTGAAAAATTACTACTAAGAAAGCATAATAGACGCTTTTTCAGTTTACCTACTTAAGACAACAGTGGCATCCAGTGGCCAAACATTAACGTGTTTATGTTTTGTGTAGTTCATACATAGTTACTATATCATGTTCTTCTATTTTTCTATTTCTTTGTTTGATTTACATAAAGGTGAGACATTTCTGTGCTGTTGTGCAGTCATAAATGACCATTTTATGACAAAAACTTGGAGCTTAGCACACACAAATCTATTGGATTGACAAGTAATAAGGTAGTAACAATTTGTTTCTCCTCCCATTTTCACATTCTCAATATACTGCTGATAGTAAATTATGTCTGATAATTTTTTTAATCAGAGACATAAAATCTGAACAGACCATTAAAAATAGCATGTACAAATCACCAATAATTGAAATAGTGGAGATAAAGGTTCAGTTGGCATGAAGACACAACTGTCAAACACTTTCAACACTTGCCTATGAAAATCTGACTGGCATCATGCTGTGCTCCACCTAGAGTACGGTCATGTAATTGTAAAGTATTTTCTCTCCAAAGCTCCACCTTGCAGTGTACCAAAAAACCAAAAAATTGAACAAGATTATTTTAATAAACTTTTATAAATATGAAAACACATTACAGCACTCTGAAGGGATGAAATTCCTTCCACTCTAAATGATCCCATGCCATGTTCACGATTTATGCAGTGGAGCTAAAACTCAGACCTGAATGCACATAAACAGCTGCAATTTCAGTCAATAAACCCTTTCTGGTTCAATACTTAATAGATGGAAAAAGCAATCTTGAACTGTTTTATATATTCATTCATTTTTAAAAGAAAATACTTCTGTTTGCTTCCCACTTCTCTTAAGTAACATCTAATGTCTGAAATCTCACAAAGTTCCAACAACACAGTTTTTCTCCTGTTAATTTAGGACCAAATTACCACTAAATATATTCTCTGATATGGTCAGATTACTGTTTCAGTCAAATGCTAATTTGTCTCTCCTAGTTCCCGCAGTCTGGGATTTCAATCGTTCGTACAGCAAAGCTGATTTTTCTTCCTGGGAAGCAAGGAACACTATTGCTAGTTTTCACTTGATTTGGAGCCTCTCTGGAGGCAGTCTGAGCTGCTGTATCCACCAAGTGCTCTGGAGGCCGGTAGCCACAGCTGTTAGAATCACTGGTCCACACTGCAGGGGCTGCAAGAGCTGAGAGTGCTTAAAGAGCCAGTTTTGGGACTGCGGTGATTTCAGACAGGTGGGTTGCAAAACTTGTTCATGGCCTATGCGTATCAACAAGAACGTGATATAAATCTCTTTGAATAAGAACTCTGAGACAGGATTTATGTAGAGATGGACCTTTCCAAGTCACTACTAGTGTTTTTCAAGAATATGACTGTGATAGACATTGAGCAGCACCTAACTTCTAGATGTTTATCCCAACAAACTTTTTCTTAACATTTCCAAAAAATTTCCAGACATTAGGTGTCAAGGCTCTAACAGTATATATATATATATGTGCGATAACTCATATTTTCAGAGATACTGCACATCTGAAATGCTGCTATTATGAGATATCATTATTACTAGTATTATTAGTATTAGCAATAGAGATAGGCTCAGCAATATATGTTCAACACATATAAGAAACTCACAGGGAACTACTAAAATAAAAAATAACAGGAAATAAAAAAAAACCCAATAAGTTACAAGGCTGTGTTTTGATAGAATAATTATAAAAGAGACAATCTGTGAAATCAGTAATCTAAAAGCTGCTTTTTAAAGGAGTAATGTGTGAAGAACCATAAAAGCCTTGTGCTTTATGGGGCAGGATTTAAATGCAATGATCTGCAACATTCATTTTTAGACACAACACAGACATTCTCCAGAGACATATCTTGTATTTCATAACACATCAAACACCAAATATCTGACCTGCAAATAAAATTTTGATTCTTTATATCACCCAGCACAACCATTTCAGAATTCATGAGTCCAGATCAAAACCTTCCTATGACACGTTTGTAAATACAGGTTTTCAAACAAAGAATGCTATATTTTGTTGTTTTTAAATAAGAGACTTCTTTAGAACCAGTATACATTTTGATAGCAGAGGCTATCCAACTTTTGGGGGAGGGAGGCAAGGAATAGAAGGCAGGCCTGCAGTAGATTTTTAACAATCTTTTTTCTGCTGCCCTAATTTCATTCTTTTAAGTTTAGTACTATGGTGTATGCCATAAAGGTGGTGATGAAGAACAGCCAACCTTGCATATTTTTCTGAGATTAACATAAAAGAGATATTTAGACATAAGTGTGTACAAGTCCCTTTATCCCCTTCAAATTTTATTTAGCCAACAAGTACTTGTTTCATATTTGTAAGCACATTTTAGATTACTAATTAAATGCACATGGACTATGTATTTCAGCATACAATTTCCCACCTCTTGAATCTCATGTATTGCTAACTGATCCACTAGCATTTTTCGTCGTCTCTTTGCTCGTTGCTCTCTAGCGAATGTATCTTCCTGTACACGTTTTTGAATTTTCCTTAAATATTCATCCTCTGAATAAATATTTAACAGCTCAGTTCTTGTCGCTGGTATAGTTTCTAGATTTGCTTCTGGAAACTTCTGTGTTTGCAATAATTCTTGCATATCGCTGATTGAAGAAAAGAAAGATTGGAATTAGCATTCTTATGGGTCTTTTCACACAGGTGCCTGTATAGTTATGTGTAAGTCTAACAAATGTAGAACATCTCTCTGTGGGCTCTGTGGCTACTTCCTGACAATGTCCACTAGGTCCAGAGGATGCTTTCAGCACTGACTTGGGCCAACTAATCATTAATTTCTTTGTCAATGCAAAGCCAAATTCCACAGAAACAGGAAATTAGGATGGCTCATAGAATGCCAAAGAAACTTGGGTTACTCCTCAATATGGCCATACACTCTGAGTAGTTTTGCAGCTATTAATCACAAGTTTACACATGGAAATATCCACAGCAGTATGCAAGAGTGTTACATCTTCTGAGTAGGGCATGTATATTACCAGGGAGGGCAGAATGAAAATTACTGGCAATTAATGAACAAATAAATCAACATACAGATAAGTTTCAGGATAAAAGTTACTTCTTTTCCCTTTGGAACGTGTTACTGTGTATGCAAATTCACAACCATTCCTATCTTGCTGCAAGCGTAACTGACCTTACAGACCCAATGACTGAAATGAACAGAGAAATTACTTTTAAGCCTTTCCTTGCTGCACACATGGCAAAAAGTAGTGAAGGAAGCTTGAGCTCTCCCTACTAACTAAAGGTAACTTCAAGACACTGCAACTGTGTTGAACCTGAAATCAGCGCTAGTGTGGAATTCACTCAAAGGATAATCACAGTTTAAACTAAAAGAAACATTATTCTTTAAGTAGCTGTCCACATAGCAGACACCCAGCAGATCCTGCCTATTCTTAAAAAATTTGGTATCCAAATGTTACCTGTTGGTCACATGGCCATGTACTGCAGAGACATTTCCTGTCATAGACTTCTCAAACTTTTCTATCTCCTTGTATACGTTCTGAAGAAGTAACACAGAATTTTATGTTTCCTTTCTCTTCACAAAGCAGGTTGAACAGAACAAGTACTAGGGAATCACTTTTACGTCATGTTAGTACAACAGAAATGCTTACACTGAAAATATTTTAAGCATCAGCTACACCAAGAATAAAGGCAAGATGATTTCCACCTTTCACCTTTCACTTCCTTCCCCTCTTCCTCTTTTCTAGCTACACCTGCTTCTACCAGCCAGAAAATCTAGAATTTTGCAGCTGTTCTTTCTGCAGGATAATTCTGATTTTGCATAGGGCCCTAGCAGAGTATGTAATTCTCACCATATGGGGATTTGAAATAAAATACTCTGGAATATGATCTCATTTAGTAACTTGAATGTAACCCTAATAGTTATTCAAGTAACTGTCTTACTACAGGTTACCAAACTTCAGATTTAAAGACACCTGCTACTGTTGCCCAGTTGTAAAAAGCAATAATAGTTGCACATCTAATGACAATACAATCCATGAACTTGAATTACAATCCATGAATAATTTTTTTTAATTACTAGATAACGCAGAATTTTTTTTTTAATTGCTGCATCTCTCTTGGTTTTATTTAAGGTTATTGTCAATTTCAGCTGTTACTAGCATTTAATAAGCAGACAGTGTTATAGTGTGTTATAGAACAGTTCAAACATTATGGTGCAAATTGTTATCATGCACAAATCAAAATGGAACATTGATGTTTTCATTTAATGTATTCTTTCTAGTAGACTCATAGCTACTATTGGCAATCAAATTACTACCTATCTATTTCTCCTACATCAAAACATTTCTCTATTTCTCTTACATCAAAACAATTCTTACTTAAAAAAACCTACAAAATCATAATTGTATAAATATTCAGCCCAGGTTTCACTGGTTGAATTGATATCATTTCGACAGTCAGCAGCTTTTGAATGGTGCAAGTACAGTATTTGTAACCATAAATGTTCCCAGAAATTGTGGTGTTTGAGTTAATGTAATTAGCATTAAAATAGTATAGATGATAATTACCTCTGCTTCCCTTTTCTTCTTTAAGATTTTTTTGGCTTCAGAAAATTTTATGGTGGGTCTTGATGGTTGTTTTTGAATCTGTATAGCAGCTGTTTGAATCCTGGCCATTATTTCATTCTGTCTCCTTCCTATGTAATGCTGATATGAAGCAAATATAATTAAGCCAAAAATTATCTTCCAGGAAGAAACTAGAAGAGATTATCAGGCTCCAGACTTGAGCAGATGAGCAGCGCTTTACAGAGTTTTAAGGGCTTTCATTGAATTCTAGTTCTAGTAAGGTACCTGGTTCAGGTCTGAATATAGCAGAGAAAAGGAGAATACCAGTTTCCTGGTACAGAAACTGAGAATACCATTAGATAACACATTAGGTAACACATTAGGTAACACTAGCAGAGATGATCAAGAAGTAACAAACATGTAAATTACACTTATTTAAAGTGCACCAGACAGGCAGGCAGGTAAAGGTGGAATAAAGAAGAAGAAACAGTTTTTATACAAAGAAGTCAAAGATGGTTAAAAATATATAACACTTCATAAGAGGTATTCCAAAATTTTCTTTTAAAATGCCATTTTGAATATTTTGTATATTGCTTGCATTTTCTTGTCCAGATACACGAAGAGGCTTTTTTTTTTTTGCCATTCTTGTTCATGTAGTGACAATAGAACAACTAAATAAACACAGCAAGACTTTCTCCCTTCATTAGCCACATAAAATATATATCAAATTAGTCAATAACTTCGTCAGTGTGGTTCAATACCCTGATACCTGGCCATGTCCTCTACATAAACTATACTCTGCTTTGGATGAGTGTTACCATGTGTAAAGTAATGTCTTCTTCCTTCCTTACATCATCAGAATAGCTACACAGAAGTACAAGATGTTCTGAGGCCAAACCCACTACAGATGCCCTTCTCCTGTCATTCTCCTGCCTTTGTACAATGCTCCATCTTTTTATCACAAAAGAAGAACGACAACAAAACCTTTACAAGGACAACTCAAATGTTGTGACATGTACACACTCTGTCTTCAGATCTATAAATATTTTCCATGCTTGACAATATGCAAATACTCTCAACTTAACATGAAGTGATTTTTAAATAGGAACATGTTTAAGGTCTCATAAGAGTACATTGGCTTTATTTCCCTACACACCTTTTCTTTCTTCTTCTATAGACATGAACATGTAGTACAGAATCAGGAAGCCTTCACACTGGTTTTAATTAATTCACTAAACACATAACCTTCAGAAAATACTTCATCAGGAGTCTATACAAATAACTAGTCACGTTTTCAGTGTCTTGGGCTCTTTGCTCTTCCTGGAGGCTCTGAGCTCTCAGCTGCTCTGCAAGATGCACACAAGCTCTCATCTTTTAGCATCTTGGATTTCGTTTCATTCTGATGTGGCATTACAGTTTTCAAATGTTAAACATCCAGCAGTGAAGAGTCAGAAAACAGCAGTAAACATACTAAGATACGGTAATTTTGAGACCATTGTTTCAAACTGTGTTTTTCTGTGTTAATGTACACAGAAAAACATACAAACATGTTCAAATTGAAAATTAGGACCAGCTCTGAAGAAAAGAACTTAAAGATTTGAACTTGAATGATGCCAAACTTTGTTTAGCTGACAAAAAAGGACACCTCATTGCTCTGTACAGCTCCCTTTGGAGGAGAAGTGCAGAGGGAGGTGCTATACTCTTGTCCCTGGTATCCAGTAAGATGACATGTGGAATAGAATCATAGAATGGTTTGGGTTGGAAGGGACTTTAAAGATCACCTAGTTCCAAGCCTCCTGCTCTGGGCAGGGACAGCTTCAAATAGATCAGGTTATTTAGAGTCCCATCCAGCCTTGCCTTTAACACTTCCAGGGATGGGTCATCCACAACTTTTCTGGGCAACCTGCCAGTGCCTCACTACCCTCACAGTAAAGAGTTTTCCTAATATCTAGTCTACTAGATACTACTACTACTACTACTACTACTACCACCACCTACTTTCTTCCAGTATGAAGGCAGTCCCCCATTTCCTCTTATTCCATGTCCCCATAAAAAGTCTTTCTGCATCTTTCTTGTAGGCTCCCTTCAGTTATGTCAGGTACTGGAAGGCTGCAATTAGGTCACTCGGAAGCCTTCTTTTTTCCAGGCTGAACAATCCTGATTGTCTCAGCTTTTCCTCATAGCAGAGGTGCTCTATCACTCTAATAATCTTGGTGGCCCCCTCTGTGCTGGCTCCAGCAGGTGCCTGTCCCTGCTGTGCTGGGAGCCCAGGGCTGGATGCAGTGCTCCAGGGGGGTCTCAGCAGAGCAGAGCAGAGGGGCAGAATCCCCTCCCTGCCCTGCTGCCCACGGGGCTCTGGGTGCAGCCCAGGACACGTTTGGCTCTCTGGGCTGGGAGTGCCATGGCTGGGCCATGTGCAGCCTCTCACCCACAGCACCCCCAAGCCCTTCTGGGCACGGCTGCTCTGGGGCTGCTCATGCCCAGCCTGGGCTGGTAACAGGGGCTGTTCCTATTCAGGTGCAGCACCAGCACTTGGTCCTTGTAAATCTCATCATGTTTCCATGGGCCCACTTCATGAGCCTGTCCCCCAGTTCCCATCCTCCTGTCCCTCCACTCAAGAGGTTGTGGCCTGAGAAGTGAAGAATGAAGCAAAAAATGTTTAGTATCTCTGCCTTCTCCTCTTCTTTTTGTTACCAGTTTTCCAGCATTGTTTATTGACCTTCCTTTCTGATTAACACACCAGTAGAAGCCCTTCCTGCTAGTTTTTGTTTTTTGCATTTATTTGCTTCCCAAGTTCAGTTCCAGCTTTGCCTTGGCCTTTATCACTCCATCCCTACAATGGTACTTCATCTCCGTACTCATACCAGCTCACCGCCCCAGCTTCAGGTGCCTGTGTGTTAGTTTTCCCAGCAGTTCCCCAACTCAGCCATGCCAGTCTCTCATCTTCCTTGCCTGATTTCTTGCTCCTGGGGATTGCTATGTCTTGCTCACTATGGAAGAATTGCTTAAAGATTTGCCACCTCTGTTCTCCTCCCTTGTCCCTGAGGGCAGCCTCTCAGGTGATCTATCTCCCTAAAGAGCTGGAAGTTTGCTTTCCTGAAGTTCAGGGATCTACCTTTACTCCTTATCTGATACATCAGGACTCAAACACCATCAACCCATGCACCAACACCATCACTGCAGCCCAGGCTGCCTCCAGTCTTGATGTCCCAATTAACTTGTTTTATTGGTGACCATCAGATCCAATATCACATCCCATCTGGTAGGGCTGCCTATTACCTGTCTCAAGAAGTTATCCTCCATTCCAGGAGCTTCCTGGATTGCCTTGTGCTACTTTCCCAGCAGATGTTGGTTGAAGACCCTCAGCAGGACAAGAGCCTGCAAGCAGTATGTCTCCTGTAGCTGGAGCAAGACTTCGTCAAATAGGCCTGCGTTAGTCAGGGAGACTGCAGTAAACACCAGCCACAGGGTTCTGATTCTTATCCACAGGCTTTCAGCCCACTCATGTCTATCCCTCAGAGACAACTCTTCACATCCAATCCACCTCTTGATGTAGAGGGCAAACCCTCAGCCTCTTGTTCCCCTCCAGTCCTTTCTGAACAGCCCACAGCCATCCAGAGCCACACTTCAGTCTCAGGATTTGTCCCATGCTGACCAGGGGAGGTAAGGAAGCATTTCTTTACTGAAAGTCTCCAGCTTCGTAGATATTCAAAACCACACTGAATGAGGTCCTGAGGAACCTGCTATAGCTGGCTTTGCTTGGAGCAGGGGGGATAAACTGAGGCTCGTTCCAACCTTTATTCCTCTCTCTATTTCTCAACCTTCCTATTATATGATCCAAATGTCTTATTCAAATTCTGAACTTATCTAAAGACAGAACCTACTCTCAGTTGCTCAATTCCTTAAAGCTATCCCTCTACAGGTGAAAAGATATGTTGACTTTTTGGTACTATCTTTGCACTTGTTGGTAAACTTCTGTTTGAAGGCTATTTTTCAGAAAAAGTGCCAGAAAAAAAAAAGTGAAATTTCTCCCAGGTAAGGTATATTTAATTTATTCATTGATATTTAATTTATTCATTATTAATGAATTTAATTCATTATATATACCTTCTTAAAAGCTCCTCATCCTGATAACAAATAATGGTCTGGATATACTGAATATTACTGCTGAAAACAAGAAGGAAGTCTTTAACAGAACCTACCACATTAACACTGACTTCCTCTTAGATGTTCTCTTTTCCCTTTATTTTTCTCTCTTTGTATTTCTCAGCATATGGTTGCTGTAGAATGGAGTGCAGTACAAATACATGGAGAGACATGCAACAGAATGAATCAAACCACTGTGGCACAGAGCTGAACACAGTTATAAACAGGTTTCCTGGAGGGGAAATTAGTCTGAGTTGATACCTAGACTGCAATGCAGTCTGCAATCTGTACTCATTAAACAAGTAAAAATGCAGCTGCTGAACTACTACTAGCTTTTATTATAATATTTTAACTCTGTAGAAAGCTTGAAAACAGAGCAGGTAACACAGAATGAACCAAAACAAAGAAACACAGAACACAGAAGATCAATATCCTATTGAGCTCCTGATAAGCTGTGCAAACCCACTGCATAAGACACAGCAAAGAACATTTGCTTCTTTTCCTTTTAAGTACTGGGTTTTGAATAGGAGATTTACAAAGTAAAGAGGGAAAGCACATAACATGCTTGAAAGGTACGTGTAAATATGCTATCTTTTTGTATTTATACAAAACAGACAGTTACTTACCTCTTGATTTCTACTCTGAGTAGACATAAGCTTTGCAGTTGCTGCAGGTCTCATTGCTCCCACGACTACTCCAGTGAGCTTTGCCTTCCTCTTTTTTTCTAAAGCAATATACAATTCATATAAAAGCTTTGTCGCAGCCCCATGCTGTCTTGTCATGATGTCTTGGGCCATATTCTCATTAAATTGCACACCAAGGAGGTGAAGCGTGGGTTCCAGGCGAGAAAAATTGTTAATTTTTGCATCTGCACCTCTGTATGATTAAAAAACAACAACAAAAAAACCCAGGACTTAAACTTATTTTCGATTCCAACTTGCTGCATTAAGCATGGTCATGACACTTATACCAAGACAGGAGCAGAAAAAAAAAACAACACACAGAGGATTTTTTAAAATAATTTGATACACACTTTGGCTTAAGTTTTGTACTGCTGTACAGGTAACTGCATTGATTAGTATGCAGTTATAACTTTTTGAAAAGACAAAGACCACACTGGATTATATAAATTCTAATATGCGTGCACACAAAGTATATCTAATAGCAAAAGCTAATCTGCAATTGGAGCTAATGCTATACCATCCACAAAACACACAAGGAGTTTGAATGGAGTTTCTAATATTAGCTGTATCAATCACTCACACTCTCACCAGTTAAAACATAAAAAAAAAGTGTCTGTATTATCAACTAACCTTTACAACATATTTTTTCTCCAAGAAAAACAAAGGTTAAAGCACTGCTGAAAACGAAGTCTGTGTTCTGAATGTGAAATTTACATTTGAAACTAAGATAGTGGCTTGCAGGCTAATATTTTTTTTATATGTAGGTTCTCATGAAAAAGCACTCACTCAAGATCCACAGATACACAGGGCAAAACCAAATAGCAATAAATTGTCAGTTTATAACAATAAGCCTATCAAATTTCATCAGACATATCCATAACTTCAGTCGGAGTCGGAAGATCCTGCTTTCTGTACTGCTCTATTGCTTGAGTTCACAATAGTTCCTTCACATGGAACAACCAGCTTTTGAGGTCAGGCAAGATCCAGCATAATTCTACAGAAATGCCCAATTTTAACTGAAGACCTTCTGGTACCACAGTATTCATATTATTTCTAGATTAAACTGTCCAGGAGCTCATTATTCTCACTGTAACAGTCGATGCTTTATTTCTTACACACTGACCTGAAGCTTACAAGTATTGAGCATTTTTCTGCCATTGATTCAAGGTTAAGATGAGCCCTCTTGCCAGAAATCATCTGACATGCACTGAGAAGCTCTTAACTTTTTATTCTGTAAGGCTGACTGGTTTGTTCATTTCTACTTCTCCCTCCTTGCACTCCTTGAAAAGAAGAGCAGCAGTTGCAGTCTCCTGGTCCTAAGGACTCCCCCCAACACCACAAACTTTCAAAGATTACTGAGAGTGGCCCAGCAATGACATCGGCCAGGTCACATGGCCTGGGTGAGTATATGCCATCAGATCCCATGGAGTTGCACATTTCCAATTTACTTAAATGTTCCTTAAACTGTTCCTTCTCCATGGTTGAATCTCTCTTCCTACAGACTTTCCTGTATGTCTCAGGGCCTTGGGATATCTTAGTCTTTTGCATGTCCTAGCAGACCCACATTCTCCCCAGCCTTCCTTTTGCTGTGAACATACCTGTAAAAGCCCTTCTTGCTGCCCTTCTGCCTAGATATAAGACAAGACCTTCTTTTCCATGAGGGCAATCACGTAAAAAATGCATACAAATTTCATATTGAAATAAATTGCATGGAGAAGTAGTATAGTCTTCATCCTTAGAGGTTTTCCAGATCACAGATTGTAAACAACTGGTGCAGACCTTCCTGTTAGCTTCAAAGACTGTTAGTTTCAAGTTTCTGAGTGTGAGCTTTATTTAGTAGACTAAGATAGAGAAGGCATAAAAAAATCTCAGCCTCAGCATGGCAGATACTCATCTGAGGATCTGAGAGGGAGGCTGATAAATGAAGCCATACTCTGCCATCTTTTTGATGCAGGAAAACAACTAAGGCAGGTCCGGGATCTTCCTGCTCTCTCACATAGACGGCAGTTTCTCTTCGTCCCTACCCTCCCAGCCTGTCCATCCTTAAGGCCTATATAAAGCCATGGCAGCACACCAGTCCTGGAAGCTATCCCACTGTCCTTCTGTGATTGCAATGATTACTCAGCAACTGCTCACAGGCCTCTAATTTCTTCTGTTTGATCCCCATGCTGCATGCATTACTATATAGGCATTTCAGAGAAACAGTCAGTTGTGTGATTTTTAAAAAAATGTAATTTAGAAAAGGTGTGAATGCTTTTCCCATAATCCTGTCTCCTTAATTGCATGCATATATTAGGGTGAGCAGCCTTCTGCACTGTTTTGCTGCTCTTATTCACATCACCTTCCTCTTGCTTGCCAGTCTAGGCCAGCATTTCTTCTCTTGTTTGAAACTAAACCTCTCCATCAATACTCACTCCTAGTTAAAAGCTATCCTTGCCCATTTTGCCAGGCTGTTGGCAATGTGTTCCTTGTCCAACTTGGATGGGTGGATCCGGTCTCTTCCTAGCAGTAATCCCTCTCGAAAGAGGATCCTATGACTAGGAAAAGCAAATCCCTGTGGTGGACAGCAGCTGCACAACCACTTGTTAACCTGTGGAACCTATCCACTAATTAAGCCCGTGCACCAGCAGAAGTGAGGAAAATAAATACTTGGGCCCTCATGCTTTTGACTCCAGGTCTCTGGCAGTAGCCTTGGTGTCCACAGAGAGGAACAGCAGGGATATTAGTGCAAGGGCTGGACAAGTCTCTGCAGCTCTGGGCTGAACCTCTGGTATGCAGCAAACCTCCCTGGCTGGCATGTGACATCAGCTGATGGCACTTTCATCTCCTGCAGGAAAAAGTCTCCCCCTGCTATTCCCACCTGCTCTTCCTGGTGCTCTGGGGTGGTTTAACTTCACCTGCTCAGATGTTTTGTCACACAGTGCCACCAGTTCACCTGCTACCACTGCAATGAACCTGTTCTGCAGCTGTGGTTCAGCAGGAGGAGCAGACACCTTCCTTTTCCTCACAGAAGTTTGAGACAGGGAGAATTGACTTCTTTTATTGGAGAGAAATTCAAGTTGAGGCCTCTCACACTCTGAGTAGTTGTTCCAGTGGATTATGAGTATCATGCCCTGTCATGCATCCCCATCTTTGCTGAGGACACATAAACCATCTCCACAGAATTTCCAACCGCTTCTTGCACCTGCTGAAGTGCATCCTCACTAAATGCACCTCTCTAATCACCTGGAGACAAGAGCTCCAAGCACCCTTTTACTAGGAATAATTGAGAAAATTTGTCAGAAGAGGCTAGAGCTTCCTAGAAGACATAAAAGCCTTGTGAAGCTATTTTTCCCAGCAACAGCAGGTACTCTAAGAATTACCTGGGGTTTTCTAATGATCCAAGAAATTCCTAAGAAATCTAGAAGTCCTAGAAACAGAGTTCAAGAACTGCTGTGTGAAACCGCTTTTTGTTGGCTGCCTTTATTACCTGCTCTCCTACAATCTGGTGGGACTTGGGATAAGAAAGAGTGTGACTACATGAGAAGTTCAAAGAACATAAAAGCAGAGGTTCAGAAGAAACAGGAAGATTTTGTACAGCCTGGAACTCTTGATGTACATGTGTACCATGGTCTGACAAAACACAGCATAAGCCAACCTCACGAATTGCATCATCAATGTATAAAAGCTCACAGATCTGCACAAGATTTTTCAACTTCCCATTTGACAGTTCCTCTTGATTATAGACATTACAGCAGATTACTTGTAAACTTATAAATTCTTATATGATCTTCTGCCAGAGCTCCACTCAAAGCTTCATAATGTTTCTCCACCATTTTCATTTTAGTGAAGATGTTAGGGTCACCACCACAACACAACACTGTATTCCTTACTGTACACAGATCATGGGCAGAGTTCCACTTTTCTCAATCTTAAAGACATCCTTGACAAGCTTTTTGAACCTCTGGTTTAACCTGATGTTTTTGTAGTTACAATTAAAATGCATAATTTTCTTGAAGAAATATGATCAATCTCTCTGGAAATATGAAATCAATTCATGCCTCAAACAGACTTAGCTTTTGAATTGCTGAAAAATATTTTAAATCCCAATAAATTCTACAGTGCATTAGCAAATCCCAGCTACGGAAATACATATTTTGTCTACTTTATGTAAGAGACTTGTTACTTTATACAGGAGAGCAAATATTACTCATATGTACTAACCTGTTCTGTGAAAATTGTTTGAAGTCATCCTGAAGACCATATTTGTGCAGAAGTTCTCCTAGGAGGTAGCCAGTAGAAAATTCTTCTGGAAATGATCCTGGAACTAAGTTTGGAGGTTTTGTGATTGTTTGGGTTTTTTAGATAAAATAATTAAAAGAATCCAAATGTTAATTTTAACAAAACTTGTTATCGTGTTTATAACAAAATTAAATCTAAAATTTAGTAAATTATTCAAAGAAATTTTAGGAGATTGATCTAACAGTAATAGCTTTAAAATCACAAATAAATGTACTTTCTGTGTAGTTGTTTTGCAACATCAGCTTTACATAGTAATTTCCAATTTTCAGTGTTAAAATGCAAACATTGTCATAATTACCACCGAGATTGTGAAAATATCTATTAGCTATAATTACTAGATTTTTCACACAAAATGCAGATGAAAAAAAAAGCTAGCCCTAATGAATGTACTCCTCTTCATTCAATCACAGAATCACAGAATACACTGAGATGGAAAGGACCCATTAGAATTGGATCTAGCTCTTGGCCCTTCACAGCAAACGCCAAGTGTCAAACACGACGTGCCTGCGAGCATTTTCTAGACACTTCCTGAGCTCTGTCTGGCTGCTGCTGTGACCACTGCCCTGGGGAGCTGTCGCTGTGCCCAAACACCCTCTGGGGAAGAACCTTTTCCTAATATTCAACCTAAACCTCCCCTGACACAACTTCAGGCCATTCCCTCAGCTCCTGTCACTGTCACCACATAGCAGAGATCAGTGCCTGCCCCTCCTCTTCCCCTCATGTGGGAGTTGTAGCGTTGTAGCTGCAGTGAGGTCTCCCCTCAGTCTCCTGGTGTCCAGGCTGAACAAAGCGAGTGGCCTCCTTGTTTGGCTTTCTATCCAGACCCTTCACCATCCTCACTGCCCTCCTCTGGACACTCTCTAATGGTTTCATGTCTTTCTTACACTGTGGCACCCAAAGCTGCCCCCAGCACTCGAGGTGAGGCCGCCCCAGTGCAGAGCAGAGCGGGACAATCCCCTCCCTTGCCCGGCTGGTGATGCTGGGCCTGATGCCCCCAGGGCAGGGCTGGCCCTCCTGGCTGCCCGGGCACTGCTGGCTCCTGTTCAGCTCACCATTGACCAGGAGCCCGAGGTGCCTTTCCATGGCTTTGCTTTCCATGGCACTGCTCTCCAGCATCTCCTTCCCCAGTCTACACACACAATCAGGGTTGCCCCATCCCTGATGCAGAATGTGGCACCTTATTAAACTTCATACAGCTGGTGATTGCCCATGTCTCTAACTTTCCTGAGGGTTTTGTTCCTTCCTTGCAGAACAAATGCTTTTCCAATGCCAGCACAACAGCTGGCATTCAAAACAAAGCACTACTTTCCAAACATATTACACTAATTTTTATTCTGTAGAGTCCTTATTAGCACTTTAAGTTTGAGCTCATTCCATCTCTTGAGAGCACCTGTCCCTTGAGGAGAATTAACTTCAGCTTGAAAATTTTCAGGCATTGGAATATATTGTCCAGGAAGGTGAAGGAGTCACCATCCCTGGAGGTGTTCAGGAGGTATATGGATCTGGCACTGGGTGATGTGGTTTGGTGGCTCAGGGGTACAGGGGCACTGCTGGATGCGTGGTAGGACTGGGTGGTCTTGAAGGTCTTCTCACGGATCTACAATCCTGTAGTCCCCGCCTTTCACACGAAGACTAAACCCGTACCTGCGGAGGCACGTGGCGGCGGGAAGGGCGGGCCCGTCAGGGGGGCGGCCGCGGGGGCGCCCCTGGCACGACGGCCCGACCCTGACCCCGCTGACCCCCACTGCCCTCGCGGCCAGGCTCTGCCCGTCCCCGCGCAGCGGGGCCCCACTCACCGATGCGCCGGGAGAGCTTCACGTCCCGGTTGAGCCACTCGCACAGGATCTGGGACATGGCGAGAGGCACCCGCGGCCGCCGCCGCCGCCCGGCTCCGCGTCCCGTTGCCGCGGCGACGGCGGGCGGCGCCTGCGCGGCGGAGGCGGGGCGCGCGGCGGCGCGGGCGCGCAGGCGCGGCGGGCGGGCGGGCGTCCCCGGGCGCGGAGCAAGGTGAGCGCGCGGCGGGGCGGGGCGGCCCCGGGGGAGGCGCTGGGCGGGCGGGGGCTGAGGCGGGATCGGCGCGGCGGGGCCGGGCCCGGGCCCGGTTGAGCCCGGCGCAGCGGGGGACGCGGCTGGGTGCGGCGGGTCGGTGCGAGCTGTCCCCGGTGTCTCGGAGTCCTGCGGGGCTGCCGGCGCGGAGTTGCCCGACCCGGGAGCGCTGCCCGCCCCGGCTGCGCGTTCCACGTGTGTTTGTTTAAACAGCAACTTCCCCGTTCCGCCCCGAGCCCGGCGCCCGCCGTGTTTGCTCGTGAGCTGGTGGGGGTGGTGCAGGGCAGGGATCGAAAGGCTGGGAATCAGGAGGAGTGGTTCCTCCTTCGCAGGAGGGGTGGTTAGGCGCTGGAATGGGCTGCCCAGGGAGGTGCTGGAGTCACCGTCCCTGGAGGTGTCCTAAGAAAGAAAGACTGGACGTTGCACTCAGTGCCGTGGTCTGGTTGACCACGGCGGTGCTGGCTCACAGGTTGCGCTAGCTCAGCCTCAAAGATCTTTTTCGACCGGATTGATTCTTGTGTTTCTGCAAAGCGCAGCCTGTCGGGAGCAGGGGAGTTAATCCGGGGTGATTTTCCCAAATCCGTTCTCATAAGAGCGCACGCTGTTACTGTGCTGGCGCCGTGAGGGAAGGGGCCGGGAGAGCCGAGAGCCGCCCGGGGCGCGCCGCGCGCGCAGGGCGGTGCGGGACCCTGTGCCAGACAGCTGCTCGGGCCGGAGCCCCGCCGGGACTGCCGGCGCTCAGCCCTTGTCTGCGTTAAATCATCTTCGTTTTAGAGTCACACCGAAACAGCCACGCACTGATTCCAGTGCTGCTGTTTGAAGCGTGTGTAATAAAACGCCAGAGCAACAGGGAAGAGAGCTGCGTCTGGAAAATGCACTGCACATAGTGGGTATTTAAATTGGCCGGGTTTTTTTGGTTTTTTTGTTTGGTTTTTTTTTTCCCTTGGAAAAGTTATTTTAACAGTACGGAATTGTGAAGGATTGTTATTGCTACAAAAGGGTAGGAACAAGGCGATCTAGTGGCTAATGACAGACAACAAGCTAATGATAATTTTCAAAAGTGTCAGTTAGCTTGGAATGTTACAGATTCTGCTCCTTGAGAACAAACAGCATTCCTCAGATTAAATCTGTGCGCTTTGACAGAGGGTGTGCTTTGAATAAAATTAAATCCTTGAGAATAAGAATATAAATGTATAACTGACCAGGTATTCATGAATCTTGAAAAGGTCAGTGTAAAGTCAGTGCCATATGAATGAGTGAAGTAACAGAAAACTTCGAGAGAGGAAGTACTTTTAGGACAGATGTTTAAATTAATATATTTATATTAAATATATTTATATTTGTACTCTTTTAGGGATTCAAAGTTTTGCATCTGTCTGAACTTATGAAAAGTTCAGATATATCACATGCACTTTAGGGGAAGAAAAAAGTTCAGATTTTTAATATTTTTATGATTGTATTTGTGGGGTGAATCTATCATCAGAGTGTTTTTCTGGTGTTTCAGGGAGGAAAGAACAAACATTTTAGCTTCATCATGGAATTTTTCCCATGGCTCTAGAAATCAATGTATATGTATTTATGTTGATATACATAGGTATTGCTGCAAGTAGTCATTTTCAGAAGCTTATGTTACTTTAAAACATGCAAACCAGAATTGATTTATATTAAGTATAGAACTTCTTTCCATATCACCTCTGATGTTGAAAGGCCGGTACTTCCTGTATCTTTAGATTTTTTTTGGAGGGGGGGAGAATGTATTCCTTTAAGTTCATGATCATATTCAGTGCATTTCTAAACACCTGATTTTGTTTAAAATTAACATGAGTTTTTCTGTCTGTCAAGATGACATAATAAAATCTTACTCAGATTAGCTAGAACTATGAAAAAGATGTGGAATTTCATGTTTAAATTCAGTAGTGTCTTGCTGTTTCATCTATATCTGTTTTAACAAATTAATGTAGCTTTTTTTATTCTGAGAAGTGATGAGATAAGGTATTAATAAAACTTTACTTCATTCTTTCCCTGAATTTAAGAACTTGGAAAGATGTCTGTGTTCTGCACTGTGAAAGCTGAGCCCAAAGACCATTTAAAGGAAAATAATTGCAGAAAACAAATAAAGTAAGTGTTTCTCTCATTCTACCCTTGCTGAAAACACCAGTGTTTTTAAATAATAACATTGTGTACTTCCTGTGCACTGAGTTTTTTACATCTCTGCTAGGAATGCCACTGGGCATTCCAAACTGTTTTTCACAGGACTCTCTACTTTAAATGATGTAGATTTTAGCCAGTAATACGGGGTTGTGGAATGCATGTGAATTATTCACCTAAGGCTCTGTCTTTATTGTAAACTTCATGCATCTTATTCTGGTCTTGCTTTGAAAGAGGAGAGGATTGTTTACAGGCTGAACTTTTTATAGTTGAAGGAATAGAAGACATCAGACAGCAACCTGTTGAGCAGAAATTGAAGTGTCAGGGATCATCTGTTACATTTCATTCCTTTTGCCCATCTGAAAGAAACTGCAGACGTGAGGAGCAAAAAATGATGTGACCAAGTCTATAGCTTTTCTTGCACATAAGTTTTGAATGACATGGACATAATAGTGGTATGCATAAAGAATAAAATGGTAAAATCCAGTTTTAAAGGCGAACAAAAGAACAACCAAAATACTTCTAAATCTTCAAGATAATAAACTGTTGGGGGAATTAATTCTGCAGTTTAATACAACTAAGATAAAGAAAAGGATAATGAAGCAGTACCTGAATTCTCAAATTAAATTGCATTCAGAGGGAAGCTGTGCCAACAGTAATAGCAGTAAACTAAAACAGAGTAATAAAAAAGTGTCTGTGTTAAAGAGTTTCCTTTTTTGCACCAAAATTTGCTTTTTCCTGTATCAACAAGATTGTTTATAAACATACTTCCCAAAAAATTATTTTTTTAAATTTTTTTTACTTGTAATGTTATGGTTTATATTATTTGCTTGGTTTTTCTCTTTCCTGAGAAGTTACAAAGAGGCTAAATGGCCTCCACTCCTCCTAGGGCTTCTTTTCACTCTTTCCTCCCAGTTTATTACTCATTTTACTTTGTTTTTACTTTGTTATTTGAATCACAAAATTCCAGAATAGTCTGTGTTGGAAGTTGGCTCCACAAGGATCCTCAAGTCCAGCTCTTAAGCAAATAGGCTGCACTGGGTTTAAATCTGCCGCCTTGGCATTATTAGCACTATGCTCTAACCACTTGAGCTAATCTCAGGGTGTTTATCCCCTCTGACAATGATTGAGCATGACCTCTTTTAAACTTAGTTTTGAATTTATTTGTCCTTCACATATACCCTCTTCCGGGTCCTCATGTCTGTACTGAGGACAGAAAACTAAAAAACACAAAAAAATCATGATTTTGCGGTTTGTGCTTACCATGTTTCCACAGGTGGTTGCTCGGAGCATTTCTCAGCTCCATGGCCCCTGCTGGCTCTTAGAACAGCACCATGGAAGCTTGTCCTGGCTTCTAACTTGGTTTTCTCTGTTGCCACAAGACAATAGTTATATTGAGTCACAACCCATGTAGGTCTTGCCTGGTCTCCTGTCTCTAGCAATGGTCAATAAAAGATTTTGGGGAAGAAACAGGGAGAAATCATTAGCATATACTCCATTGCCATTCAGAACTTTCTCCCTGCCACCAGTGAATGTGGTAAAGGACTTCATGCATTGACATAAGCTAATACAATTAACCTTTCCTTCCATGAACACATGCAGACATTTCTGAGTCTCTGTAAATGTTTGATATTGACAGTGATTTGTGGTAAGGGATTCCATAACTTAACCTGGCTTTGTGTGAAAAAATTAATTACCCTTCATTATGCAAAGAATGTTATTGTTTTGTGTATTTTGAGTTTGCATCTTCTGCTCTTTTTTTTTCCCCAGCTCTCTAGCTGTTCTGTTATTTTTAAACAAGAGCATTAGCTATCTGACTTTCAGGTTGAACTGATGCTTCAACATTCTCATATTTCTATTATCTGCACAAAGATCACTGGGATGAGTCTGCTGTACCAGTCCTACAAAACAAAGTCCTCCACTTCAAGCAGTTGCAGAACTAACACTTAGCAATACTAATGGGTTTTCATGCAATACATATGCAAGACCTGCATTCACTGGTTAAGTAATCTCTTTATATTTAAAAAGTGTGTTCAATACTGATAATGTATAATGAGGCTTGGAAAGTTAACAGGTGTGCTGTGTGCAGGAAAATATTGTGACTGGGTGCATTGTTTTCTGTACTGCAAAATGGATTATTAGTGTGTCAGTTCACCTTGAGTGAGTCAGTAAAGTACTGGGCAAGATTAAGGCAAGAGAAGTGCAGAGAAGTTTTGATGCTTTTGAGACAGGGCAAAGTGCTTCCAGTGTGAGGAACAAGTGGCGTTCTGTGGCTGACTGTTGTGATTCGTTTTTGTACTGATAACTAAGTAAGGAAGAAGATAATTTAATTTTGCTTAAGCAAAGTCTTTCTGGCTGCATCTGAGACAATATGGTTCCATTTAGTTCAGTTATAGCAATTGCACGTTTAAATCAAGGACTGAAGGATTTTTCAGCTTAAAGTGACAATTTGTTATCTCCAGTGTGACGTGCTTGGCAGGAATAACAGTCCACTATGGTGGAGAGAGGAATATGAGTGGAATAGCATTTCAAATATCTATGCCTTTTGGCTTGATTTATGAGACTACTCAACGACTTACTAAAGCAGATGGGGGTTTGTTTTGTTTTTTGTTTGTTAGTTAGTTTGATTGTTTTTTTAAAAACCCACTAATGACTTTGATTGAAAGTTTTTGGAGAG